AGAAACAATTACAGGTAAAATAACAAAAACTGACATAGGTGTTAGCGCGCGACTACCTATTCATATGCACATACCTATGTAAGTTTATTATCGCACGACAAAGGTGAATGTTTATTGTTCAGGTGTGTTGTGACGTCAAGAAAGAACGATAATATAACTGCACCGTCGTAACATTCATTATTATCTGCTTTCAACCTCATCTCCCAAGATCACAGCACCAATTATCTTATTGAGATTCACGCACGACATTGTTTCGTGTTTTTTTTTCATTCTAAGCATCAGAGTGATACAAATATGAAATGTTGAAGAGAGTTGATTGCACCTATTTTACCACTTCAATAGCTTCTCATGAGATCGTAACCAGATCTGATAAAATACACATGATTGAAACATTCCATATACATATTAACTCAATGCTAATGTAATGTAGGCAATCAAAATTTATTCAAGGGACACAAAAACATCTCAACCGTGCATTTCATCGGTTTACAAAAAAGATTTTTACTTTATTCATTTATGAAATTTAGTAATGAAATAATACAAAAGCAGACGTTATAGTTGTTCCATCGAGATAATTTGATTCAAAAACTTGAACAAGATTATTAATAACTTCAAATAAAATAAACATTTATTTGAATTTAAAAAAATCTAAAAGTTGGTAAATGACTTCACCAACCATTGAACATTAAAAGTGAAACGAAAAATTAATCAAATATAACCGTTCATTCAAGATGAATTTATTAAAGTTTTTCCGAGTTAGATTTAAATAACTGAATTTAAATTAACAACTGTCGAACAGAGTTAGATGCTGAATTTTTCAAAACGCATTAACGTGAAAACCGCAGGTGCGCCTCCTCACGTGTTTCAGCGATATATATCAGGGCATGTACGGCTCTATCTATCAGCCTATGTATATTATGTGTGAATGTTTGTGTGTATTGCTTGTATAATGTGTGTATATGCTCATGTATTGTGTGAATGTATGTATGTATGTATGTATATGTATGTATATGTATGTATATGTATATGTATATATGTATATGTATGTATGTATATGCACATGCATGCATGTGCATGTGCATGCGTATGTATGTATGTGTGTATTATGTATATATGTATGTATGTATATATGTATATGTATGTATGTATATATGTATGTATGTATATGTGTATGTATGTATGTATGTATGTATATATGTATATATGTATGTATGTATGTATGTATGTATGTATGTATGTATGTATGTATGTATGTAATATGTGTGCATACATGCAATTCAATAGAATATCCAGCACGCTTCACTGCTCATCGAACAACGTGCGTGATCAAGTCAAGTCTCGTTCAAGTGTATTCGGGCTTTTATTGTGTGCTGAGCAGTTGGTGTTTGTGCCAATATACATACACAATATGCATATTTACAAGCTATTAAAATAAATGAATAAATTACCAAACACCAATGTGTGTAATACGAATTAAAACATAAGTTTAAATATAAGTACCTAATGCTGATAAATGATAATATATATATATAAATGATAATATATAAATATTATTTATATATATATATATATATATAATTTATTTATATATATATTATTTATATATATATATATATAATTTATTTATATATATATTATATATATATATATATATATATATATGGGTTTAGACTGTCGTATATACAGTTATTAAGAAATATCATCATCGCATTTTCCGCATTGTTTAGTTTGTAACTAAGTTTTTCAATTTTTCGAACAAATATTTTATCGATTTTATTTCAATTTATTCAAATTAATAATAAAATTTCCAATTATTTTAGACTGCATTTCTAAATGCCCCATTTTATTGGAGCGAGAGATGAATTCAATCATCGATAGACACACACACACAACCACACACACAAAACACACACACGTATCATCATAGATAATATTAATAATAATTATAATAATAATAATAATAAATGTCACTTATAAAGCGCCCTTGAAATTAAGAAATTAATAATAAACCACGGCACGTTATTTAAAGTAACATGAGTTCGATGGTTAAAACAAATTTACAATATTAGAGCATGATAGAACAAAAAATGACAGCAAATTGTTTGAAAATCGACGTTTCGAAAACAAAATGTATCCTTTTTGGGCCAAAAATAGTCACAAATCTATTCAACTTTGAAATCTCAGTCAACGTGAAAAAAATTCCCAGAGTTTTATCCGTCAAATTCTTAGGCGTTGTTATTACTGAAAACCCAAGTTGGAAAGAGAACAAAATAGAAATCTTTCAAAAAATATCGAAAAGATTATGCATTTTAAATGAAATTAAAACAATTTGTCCCTATAATATTATTATTAATCTATATTTTACGTTAATCTATCGATATCTTATTTATTGTGTAATGATCTGGGATAAATACACTAAAACTCATATCGATATATTAAATGTCAAAATTAATTTATAAGAATATTGAAAATCGATAATAGATGTACTACATTTGGATTTTTTCTCTTTGCTTTAATAATATTTTATAGTTTGTATTTTTCTTTTTTACCGGATTTATGTTTCAATGTAACGTCAAGTTTGTTTTACAACACACACATCTACGTACAAAAACTATAAAGGACGGATACTTCACCATCAAAATCGTTTATAACCCGATCGCGCCTAACTCATAGCCACGTGCTTATGCGTAATTTAAACATGATAATATTCACTTCGAATAGCTTATTCGTCAGAGCTCTGTTGTATTTTTCGATAGAAATAAAAAGATTATATCAAAGTTATAATTATAATGAATAGAAAGAAAACTTGTGTCTCCAACTCCAATATCAAAATCATCATCATTTACATTTACATTCGTTATTTTGAAATTTTTGTTAGGAAACGGTTAATCTACATTCGTTTCAAGTTGCCTAAGTGCATGAAACATTTTTTAAATTAAACAGATTGTGTGACATTTAATAACTACCAACACTCTGTTAACCCCACCGAACAAGTTTAAACAACTGAATTTGTATTGAATAATACTTAAGAATCGCATTTAAAAAGTATGAATAAGATAAAATACGAAATCTTTAGCAACGCACTACAACCTAACAATGGATGGTAATTCACGTGTACAACAATAACACACACACACACACACACACAGACACACACACACACAAACAAACAAACAAACCACGCACAAGCACATAAACACAAACAAACAACACGTACAAACAACACACCGGACCATTGGAGCGTATCGTTTTTTCTACAATCTCAGCTGAATGTAAGTTGCAAATTATGAGTGTGTGTTAAATCTACCTGGCCATAAACATGGGAAGTTTACGAATTTAGTGTATACTTTCAACGGATGAAGTATTGTTTTAAGTTGAAACTTCATGTAATAACTTGTTGCAGGGTATAACATAAATTACAAAGCATACTTATTGAAAATATGGAAATATTTTTTACGAGTTGTTTTGAAAAAATGTTTTTTCTTAACGATCAATATTGCCAACCAGGGCATCGTTCAGAAAAATTGTACAAATGCCTCAATCGATTTTAAATCATAAGAATTCAATAGAATGAAACAGTTGCTGGCAAGTCAAAATGAAAAGCTTTTTTCTTAGAGACAATAAACACTGGTGGAGATGATTGTATGTGCATTTATTGTAATAAACGATGTCAGCAGAGGATCGATATGATTCGTGCTGTGTTTGTCGATCTAAACTGAATGTCACTTAAATACCAGTTTTATTAACAGCGCAACAAACGAAGTGAACATTTATGCGCATGCCCATAAAAGATATGCACGCAAAAATATATGCACATCAGTTTGTAAAGCGTTATTTCCGCGATGTTCAACAACCCTCCTCACCCTCCTCAGTGAATTTTGCAAACAGATGTGTCTTGAGATCCTCCCTGAACTTCCTAAGTGATGGAGAAGTAGTCAGAGAAGGAGGTAGAGAGTTTCAAAGAAAAGGACCAGAAAAAGCAAATGCAGATATTTTAATTAAACATATGGCTCTACACTTTTACTAAATATTTATCCATTACTTAATCAGTTTTTGTTGTTCAATGATGTTGTCTCGGTGTACCAAGACCAACATGAGATAATTAAGATAATTACTTTCTAATTTGTTTTAAGATTTTTTCCTGTTGTATATGTAGCTTATTTCCTCTAACACAATATAAACGAATAATAATTTATTTCGATTACACGTACATGCATGTTCCAAAATTTTTTCTACCACACAATTTGGTTTTAAATTTAATTTTTGAACACAACACCATGGTTTTATTTTAATGTTCTTTTCAAGACTTGACATCTGAAGAAATGCTTTACGTGTTTTTGAATTTAAAAACTTGAAAAACCTAAAAAAAAAAACCTAAAAAATTTTAAAAATGCCTAAGGTTTTTAACAACCATGTGATTAACTCATACCTTTCCTTCTTCACACAGCATTCTTACTGTTTCGTATTGAATTATCCTACAAAATTCCAAACATGTCCCATGCACTGTCATTTCTTTTCTCAACAAGTTTCGTCCAATGTACTTTGGCGTTGGCGACATAGACCTCCTTGTCTCTTATTTATATTAGTTTTAAAGACTGGTCCGATTGGTTACATAACTTCACAGCTGACTCTGCCTGACAAGCCCAACAGTTAGATCACTCTGGCACTTACTGCAAATGATTCCAAGCCAGCTCTACCAATTAAACTGTCTAAATCCTTTTCAAAATAGACGAAACAAGGCTTTTTCTCCAACAAGTTTAAGCTAGAATCCGGTGTAATGTGCGTTTCTTGTCTAAATGTTTTTTGTTATCGGTAAGACATTTTTCAACTTGACACATTTCAGTTGGAAACCTTTCTTGTTGAGCATTACTGCAATTTATATTATCCATTCACCCATTACGCGCTATTACGAATTGGCGCATTCCTTTCGTCACTGTTTTCCTTCTATAATTAAAAAAAGTATTTCTTATACGTACACTTCCTCATTTCACATTGCCATCTTAACTTTATTATTTTTATCTTCGTTGATAAATTGAGGAACATGAAAAAAATAAATACTTGAATATAAAAAGTGCAGTGACATTTTCATATAACTGCACACATGAAAATCTCAATCTTCCTAACATATAATGCACATATAATTATTTATACTTTCAAACAAATATTCAAATGTGGCTAAGAGGGAACCAGAATCTGAAATACACTCTTTATGCGATTTCGGTAAGTAGCATTACAGCTCAACATGACATTAAGATTGATTTATATGTAAAGTACTACAAGAAAAATCATATGGATGTTTTTGTAATAAAACAGATGAAACAATTTTTAATGGTACGCCTTTAAACAAATGAGAATAAATAGCTTATATTCAGAATAATGATTAATAAGCACCCGTATAATAAATTTTAATAGTCAACTTTAAAAGGTGGACCAGTAAAAACAGTGATCGCATTAAAAACCAGAGGGAGATGATGATTCTAGGGCATTACATTTGGTGCATGCATGCAGTAAAACATAGGTACTGGACTGAAAAAACTAATGACATACAGATAACTACGCCAAAATGTGTTTAAAAAATCTTGTATAACTGGAATTGTCAAATAGAACTTTTACAAAAACTTTTAAAAATTTTGAATTAAAACCATATTTAAATTAGTAACGCAGATCTTAAGAAATAAAATCAAAATAGAATTACACTAATTTATTAATTCACAACCATTGGTGAGAAATAAAATGTGACCCAATCAATAATTTTTTGTTGTACACATATTGGTGATCAAATAAATAAAGCAGCTAATAAATATGGTAAAAAGAAAGATAAATTTTCCACTTCAGTTTCTCACGCTCATACTTTTTTAAAAATTCTGATGACAATAATATAAAGAAAAGTCACATGAAATATGAACTAACATCAACATATAAGTTCATAAATGTCGTAAACCCACCAAAAACCGAGCCAAAACGTAGTTAGGCTACATTAAATTTCTAATGGTACCATGGACAGGTCAATTTGTGGGCTGTCAACATTGTGTCCTGCTTTCAAGAAATTATAATCCATCAAGTTGACTGGCGAGGATGAAAGCGGAGGCTGCAATATGAGAGTGGTGGCGGCCACATTTGCTACCAGTGAGCAGCAGACGATGTCATGGGCATCATCGTTTAATAGCTCCCTGTTGTAACAACAACAATAATAATAATTCAATAAATCATGAAACAACTAAAAAATATGTTAAATTCTGTTGAACAAGCTTCAATAGAACTGTGATATAAAAAAAAATTGGGAAAAAATTGTAGAAGAAAGTGACTAAGAATGTATATAAATAAAAAAGGATAGTTAGCAACATTTCTCAGAGAATTTAACACTAACATGACGACGTTCTTCATGAAATAGTAGCACTTTGGTTTCGGCATACCGTTGAAACATGAAGCAGCACTCATGGTGTAAGCACCCATGTCTTTGAACACCAACCAATCTCCAGTTGTGAGACGAGGAAGACGACAGTCCTTGATGATGCAGTCCAACCCATCACAAGTTGGACCCCAAAGACTACACTGGTACAGGGGTTGGTCCTCATACTTCTTTAACTAACAAAAAAGATTAGTTCATCTTCATATTAATTAATTTATTTTTTATAAGATTATGGACTCACCTCTGGAAGTAATGCTTCGACTTCAGCATGATCAAATAAGATGCAATTGAAAGATCCATAAACACCATCATTGACATAGTGCATGTACGAGGGTTCGCCACCTGAAGAAATTATATAGCCAATTAAACAGAGCCAAAACGAAACAGTGGAAGGTACAAATGATTTTTTTTATAGATTAGAATTAAAAAAGCTGTACATATAAAAATAAAAAATATATAATAGGTTAAAGGCATTAAATGCGTAATTTATTTACAGACTGTAAAATGAGCAAAGTTCAAATGAGATATATGTTAGCCACACTTGAGCTGTTTAACGTTGTGGCAAACAGTAATTAAATCATTTTCCATGGTTCAAAAAATATATTGTTTTAAAGTCAAAATAGAGACAATAAGTTATCAAGTTTCAGATAAAATACTTTGATATTTCAACCAAGAGTAAGATTGGGGAAAACCTTTAAAAACCAACAAAGGACAACAATTTTCAGCTAAATGGTATGAAAACAAAATTTAATAAAATGACCTTGAATTTCACTTGGAACCTGCCTGCTGGAGATAACACTTACTGCCAAAGTGAATGCTGAAGCGACGAAGAAACGACCTGGCTCTGCAATGATCTGCACCCCTGACTCCTCGGGAAACAATGCATCCAGCGCTGGCTTTAAAACATCAACAATCTGCAACAAACATAAAATCAAAATCCATTGAGGACCATTGAAATGAAAAACAAATGATCTCTAAAAATGACATGAAGGAATTTATCTTTAAATTTCTCGAATTTCTAAATTTTGTTTCTTGAAGAAATGAATACTAAGAATCTACACCATGAAACATTAATTGAATTTAGATGTTAATCATGAATTAGTTCATTTTCTGATAGTGTTCTTTATAAAAAATAATATATTAATATGCAAAATTAAAAAATTATACAAATGGACAAAATTCACATAGAAAAATAAACGAAATACGTGACAAACGATATCAAAATAAATAAATAAACGGTGTTGAAAATTAATCATGAATTAGTTCATTTTCTGATAGTGTTCTTTATAAAAAATAATATATTAATATGCAAAATTAAAAAATTATACAAATGGACAAAATTCACATAGAAAAATAAACGAAATACGTGACAAACGATATCAAAATAAATAAATAAACGGTGTTGAAAATTAAGTAAGCCAACGAATGATTTAAAAAACATTCAAAGTGTAATAATGAAAATTGGAAATGAAATGAATGAGTGATGTTATTCGAGAGTGGCGATTGACTTGGTGCTTTGGAAAGGATTGTTTTGCTGATATGTTAAATATGTGGAGTGGAGATTGCACAGTCATGTTTGCATTCAAATGGGTTGTGTGATGTGACTTTGATCTGTGGCAACATGGAATGAAGGACACGACTGCAATTTTATTTCGCTTTTCTATATAAGCAAGATTATAATGTGTTGAAAATGCCTGGTTGATAGATAAGATATCAGCAAACCTCATTGAAACTTAGTTTGGCATTCGGCTGTCCTGGAAATCCCCCTCCAATGTCTAACAGATTAAACTGGAACCCTTCACTGTGAGCTACACTGAACACTTCATGAGCAGATTTGACAGCTGACAAATAAGCGTTTGAATCATAGCAGCCACTGCCAACGTGAAAACTGTAGAAAATAAAACAGACCTACATTAATAATAAACTAACAGAGTAACAGAAAATTATGAAACTGAAACACGCTCCAAAAACACCTCTCAAAATAAACAAATAAGCTACACCGAGTTGAAATTTTATTTAAAAAAGTTATAACAACAAAATTGGGTATTAACATATATATACATACGTAAAATAAAAATAATATATATATGTGTATATAAATGTAAGTATATATATTTCAATATTTCATTTGAATTTTTTATAATCTGTCTATGGAATCTGGTTTCGGTTTCAAAATGGCGACAAAAAAAGTAAACGTTATTCCTGACAATCCTGGACCGAGGCGCTACAGCAAAAGAAATGTTGACAGTCTATTTTCTGCCTTTCAGCTGTTCATGAGAGATACTATATTTAATGACATTCAGAGCTGGATCAACAAAGAAGGTGCATTGGTATTTGGTGACGATTGGAAGGATCTCGCGAGGAAGGAGTTACTCTGTTACACTGGTTTGTTGCTGTTGGCAGGTGTACTGAAAGCAAACAACTAGCCAATCGATCATCTGTGGAATAATGAGCATGGCCGACCAATCTTCTCGAAGAGTATGGCAAGAAACAGATTCACGAGTATATCACGAGTATAAATTTTAATGTTTTTATATATTAAAATACGTTAGTGAGCCATTCTCTGAACCTCATGTCATATACATATATGTATGTATACATATATAGATGATCAATCAATCATCGTTTAGCGTCCAGAGACCCAGTTCTCCCGAGGTAGGACGTTAATTTTTTCCCTACCACCAATTTTCTACGCCAAATTAGGCGATCAGTTGTATCCATTTCATTTAGATTTAGAGCTTTCATGTCTTGCTCGATTGTTTGCGACCAGGACTTCTTTGGACGGCCTTTGGGACGTGTGCCAGGTACTTTAACATCTGCAAGAGAAGTTATGGCACTGTTTCCACTTCGTTTGACATGACCAAACCGCCGCAGACGGTGTTGCCGGCATTCGTCCTTTATATCAGACTAATTCATTGCATCCATATCCATATTGCATTCAAATCGGTTCGGTGAAGTTGTTGTTCCAGTTTGGTTGTCATTGGCCATGTTTCTGCACCATATAACAACACAGGACGTATCACAGATTTATAAAGTCTTGATCGTAGTGGTAGTGGGATGTCACGCCGCATCAATATAGAGGCAAGGAGATGCATTTATTCCAGGTTGCACGTATGCGTGCTCGAACGGCAGCTTCAGCTGTTCCAGTACAATCCAGAACATCCCATAGATATTGAAACGATGTGACTTTCTCTACCTTAATGGCTTCAAAAACATTGTTATTTCGAATTTGTTGTTGTGGATTGATGCAAGCAGGACAAACAAAATTGGACACTTTAGATAAATTAAATTCTGGAATGAGTTGTCAACGTAGGCTCCACCTGATTGCTTCACGAGGAACTCTCTATGCAAACTTGTGCGTGCAAGAGCAACGAGCAAGTATTTATTCTTAATTTTAATGTTAGTATATACTTATGTAAATATCCTTGATCTATTTTCTTGTTATTTACATATGTATATCAGTGTTTTTCAACCAGGGTTCCGCGAGTTAATAAGAAAATATTTTTGGTAAAAAAAATCATGGCAAAACCAACCAGGACCACACATCACGCCTAACAAGAACGCATTTTGTCTGTCGAAGAACTTTTCGTCTGCCTATCCAAATATCGGCCAAGAATACAGCTTCACACTGAACATTGTTCTGTACTCGACTAAACTGTAAGACTTGTAAATAGGACTGTAAGACTTGCAAATACTGCTAATTAATGGTAGCTAGCATAATCAGTGATCTGTATTGTGTGAAAACCGCATGATTAGTAGACTAGTTTTCTGAGGTGTACAAGAAAAAACTTGCAGGCATGAAAAAAACTGGTTGCTCGCTTTGAAGGGACATAAATGGTACAGGTTCTGCTAAAAATCTGACGACACCAAAGTGTTTCCCTGAAGAAAAAAGATTGAGAAACACTGATGTATACATATGTGTATTAATTTCCATATTGGTGGTCTGTAAAGTTCATTTAAGTGAACTTGCTTGGTCTCCAAGCCAAAATGTTATGTTATTACAAATTTTTCTTTTGCGTTAATTCTGGTAAATAAAAGATATGTGAGATTCGACAATGCAGCTGATCACAGACAGGGAAGACAGACAAACTGGCTTCGATTCAAGAGGTATTTGACAAGTGGGAGTTGTCACTTCGTGCCATATGTAGTAGTGGTAGGGTTAAGCACTTCAGTTGCCAAAGCATTAAGATGTTTGAGTAGTTGTTATTAATTTAAAGATTGCAAGGCAACTGTAAAGTTTATGGAAAATGTCGACAATTTTTTGTTGCTATTTTGTTTTTAAGAGTAAACTATTAAAATTTTATTTATACTCATATAATATTTAATGTGATTCTGAATATTATTTTCCTTTCGTTTTCATTTTTCCTTTTTTTGATGTTCTAATGTTTAAAAAACATAAAAATTAAATTTTTTTTCTTGTTCAACTTGGCTCTAGTTCTCAAAAGTAATTAAATACTAAACATACCACTAATTTAAGAAACCAAACGCAGCTTAAAATAAAATCTATAACATTTAAAATATATCATTCCATAATATCAAAAACTGTAATGCAAATGTATAAAAATTTAATTGGGAGTTGGAATCAGAAAGTGTTTTGAGGAGCCAGAAATTTGTAAGCAAGGAGTCAGAGTCCAACAAATTCTGACCCAACTACCTGATTATAGCACTCCTTATTGTAGTTTTTTCTTTAAAGTTTAATTTATATTAATTTTAAAAATTTAATCAAGGATTCATTCATGTTAATTTATGAATCTTTGATAAGATAAAAGCTTGAATATGCAGTCAATGTGTGGCCTCCATGGAAAAAAATCTGGAAAGAGTTCAAAAGTGTGCAGATCGTTTGAGGTTACTAAGCTTGAGCCTATTAACCAATATCATATTATGTTATTAATTTCATATGTATTAATGTTTAATATGAAAAATAATAATAGTATTGAAGGTCTCTATACAAACCTGACTCCGATGACATCCAGCTCCAACTTTTTGGCCAACTGCAGTAATTTGGCCACATGCTTTAGATGGCATCCAAACTTCATTCCTAATTCACATTGGCATTTGTCACTTGCTGGTGGTAGAATGCGCACTACCAATCTACATACATAAATTTACATCATGATAGAAATGCACAAAATTGTTACAGAATTTCAATTAATTCATAATATTTTAATTGCATAGAAAAAGTAATTATACATACTTAGCGTTAGGATGATATTCCTTGACTTTAAGAAGTTCAGTTTCATTATCAAAAGTCATGAATTCCACATGGTGACGAGCTGCATATTTGATGTGAGATGACTGCTTGCAAGGATTGGCATAAATAATGCGATCCGAAGACACACCTAAATCCAACACTTTTTGAATCTCTCCCTAACAAAAGCACAAAGTATAGCACATTACTAATCTCTTGGCTAAGCAAGAGCTATACAATACAAATTATAACAGTGTTGATGTGATATTACATAATATAAAACAAACGCCAGCGGCCCATTTGACAACATTGATCTCCTTGGGGCAATCAGTTAAAATAGTATTGCAAAAGGAGCATTGTCATTTTCCAATAAAATTTCTGATCAACATCTTTTGGTGTTTAATTAAAACTAAACCATAAAATAACAGGACTGCATCAAGAATAGCACAAATTTAGTCAACATTTAGCTTGACAATATTGATGTCAAGAGCGGCATTATGTACCTCCCAAATGCATCAAAACAGACACAAAGTCTAAAAAACTTGTTGAACTCCGCCATAATAAGTGGAAACAAACAAAATCACTAAACATGTTTTATGTGCTTTCTGATACTAGAGTTTTGGTTTATATATGCAAGAGTTCATTTCATGAAATTAAATGGAAATAAAAATTATCAACAAAATATATTAACCTTGCTAGCACAATCAAATCCAGTTCCCAACTTTGCCAAAACTTTCAAGACTTCAGCATTGTCATTACATTTCACAGCTTTAAAAAAATTATTTAGTAAATAAACATTTTCAATTTTTAAGAATCGTATAAAAAAAAATTTCAATTTGTATGGAACAATAAAACACATATATTTCTCAAAAAAAAAAAAAACATTCAAGTCCTTGAAAAATTTTACAAACTTTAAATGAATTATTACTTGACCACTTATTATGTACATATTAATACCGTGGTATCTCTTCTAACATATTCGTTTTTTATGCTGCCATAATACTAATACATTACTTAATCAATGAAAATTCCAAAATATTGTGTATTAAAGATATTTCAGGGATGCCAAACATTTGAAATTACAATGAGTCCTATTAAAAATATTTTTTAAATTTCTTCTCTTTCCAATCACCAACGTTTATATCAAAATTGAAAAATTTTAAAAACATTCTTCAAAACATGTTAAAGGTGTTAATTGAACTTTTCTTGGATAGCTACATATGGAATTGACAGGTGCTAACTGTACACATCAAACTGACAGATAAGTACTAACATATTAAATAAGTTACACTTGATGATTTCAAAGTAAAAAAAACAATTTTTTAATTTTTCTTTAACAAGCTAGGCAAACAACTCATCACAATCATTTTGCCAATTCAACCAAGAAATGCTCATTCAATGTCATAGAAAGGACAAATCAGATTGAATTATGATAACTCGTGGTCGAATTATATCTCATTCAAGTCATTAAAACATCAACAAATAACAACAAATTGATACCATAAAAAGGCTGAACTCTGGGGAGCAAAGCTTTCCAAATCTTGTGCTTACGCACAATATCTCCCATATCAGCAACATAAAATGCATCAAAGTTGTCCTGTTGAAAAAACAAAATAATTAATGTTTTCACAGACCCCGTTAACTATTAACTATAACTGATTAACAATTAACTATATAAATGATAGTCAGCAGCAAATAAATTTTTTTGCCAGGGAGATGAATAAGATGTTAGAATACTATACCATGTCATTGCAATAACCAATTCAGAGAGAAAAATTGAAAAAGATGTTACACCACAACCGGTTATTGCCCTATTCAACAATTCTACAAACAAACTTAAACATTTTTTCAGAAATCAAAATGAGTTAAAGGTTAACTGAAAAATGTTAAAACCATATACAATCTTAGGCCATAACAATGAGCAAATGTAAAGGTGTTGATTGATAAAGCAAGATCCAAGGAAGTCAATAACAATTGTAATTTTTAATACTGGGTAAGGGCTGCCTCTAGGTTAGTAGAAAGTTGCAATTTTTCTCAAAGCTAAGCCAAATAAATCTCGAGTTGCTTAGCATTAGGTCTGTCCAAACTAAACACAATATTGTTATAATATTCGATTTACGACGCGACGAGTTCAAATCTTCGATTGAATAAAATACTCCAAACAGTTATTAGTTATTAAACTTTATTTACAGAAGAAATCAACTAATCGTTTATTTTCAGCAAATTCAAACTAACGCAACAATTAACTTTTAAATTGTTCAAAATCTATCGCTATGACGTCAACAAACTAATCAAATATCGCTTTAAATAATTCACTGAATCGCTATTCACAAAATCACGAATTTCACTAATCACGGATTTCACTAATCCCGGATTTCACTAATCCCGGATTTCACTAATCACGAATTTCACTAATCACTTGCGACGTGCACTTATATACTCTTCGCAAGCGTCGTTTCTAGATTCTTCTAGATGGTCCGATTCTAGCATACTCTAGAATGCTCCATTCACTAGAACATTCTAGAATACGCTAGAATCTAGTGCGTTCGGTAGCACGGTTATAACATTACCCCCTTCTTAGTTCTGTTCGTCCCGAACAGCTTTCGTTCCGGTGTCCGCATGGTACGGAGCCAGTCTATCCAAATGAACGATCTTCATTTTTGCTCTCGGCTTCCGATATTCTTGAATACGGTAGACGACGTCATTCAAGCGGGTGATAATTTGATAAGGTCCTTCCCACCCTCGCTGGAGCTTTGGAGAACGTCCTTTCTTTCGCTGTGGGTTGTACAGCCAAACTAACTCGTCGACAGCAAAACCGCCACTGCTTCCTTTCAAGTCGTATTTGGTTTTGGCCGCCTCCGTTTTTTTCATAATTTTAAGGCGTACGTAACGGTGGATATGGTTTAATCGCTGTCGAAGATTATCCACGTATTCTGTAAAATCAGCAATCAACGCCTCGGCTTTTAGACAATCTTCTTGATACAAATTGAGTTCATCCAGTAGATTTTTGATAAGTTCTTTGAGTCTATCTATGTCAGTTGGTAGAACCTTTTCCTGTTGCTCCACATCTAATGATTTCACCAAATTTATTGATTGGCAATTACCTATTTCCTCGCCTTTTTAAATTTTAATAGTGTGTTTAGCGGTATTCATTATTCTGACAGGAATAAGACCATTTTTGTTTGCTTCTACCAGGCATTTTCCAATGACCGCGTTCTGTACATTTGTCGTTGAGGTTGGCTCCATCAAATAGAACTGGTGGCCCCTTGGATCACAATTCAACTTGCCCCATACGATGTTTTCAGATGATTGAGGTAGTTCTACGTCATAATCGACTGTCACTCGAATGCATTTTTCGTCGCTATCCTCCATTATCACTTCTGTATTTCTCCATCTAAGAATGCGTTTTTCTAAGTCAATTTTGAACCCATATTTTGTCAGAAAGTCGACACCTATTATGCATTCGTCGATGATATCCGCGACTAAGAATGAACCTTCGAATAACAAGTCGCCTAGCTGAACAGTACGGAGAATCTTTCAATAGACTGGTGCTGTTCCTCCGGTAGCTGTTCGAAGGATGTATTTGTTAGAAGTCTCTTTCTTCAGATTGGGTACCATATCAGATCTTAAAATCGATTTTGTTGCTCCGGTGTCGACTGTAATTACACATTCTCGTTGATCAACTTTTCCGTTCAGCCATAGGTCGTTTCGATTTCGATGTAGTCTGGAAACGTTAATTACGGTACTGGGGGCGTCAATTCTACTAGCCAACCTTTGCCCCACAAAGTTGGCTTTTATTAGCTTTTCCGCCCCTTCGTTAGAAGGAGCCGATCGTGATACAGGATCATCTTCTCTTCTTTTGCGCCATCTTGTCGCGCAATTTCGGCAGTAGTTATCTTTTAGGCGGTGTTTACAATCACGACGTAGATGGCCTTTTTCACCACAAATCCAGCATTGGGGTACACCATGCTGTTGGGGTTCGCGTTTCACAACCACCTTCTGGCAAGAGCATTCTTCATGTACTTGGCGTAGACGTACGTCACTTTTTGATGCTTGCTTTGCCGATTCAAAAGTGAGACTGTGCGCAACGGCATCCTTGAGTTTTCGTTTATCTGAAAAGAGAAGGGATTGCTTGAGTTCCGAATCACGAAGGGCTTTGATAAACGTATCCAGGGCAGTTTCGTCTCTATGCTTGGGGTCTGATGTCGGATACGACAGCAATGTCAACCGTTCGATATCTTGTGCCAGCTGCTGAATGGATTCACCAGATCGTTGCGTTCTGTTTCTAAGCTGAGACCGATAAATCTGTTTCATGTGTTCTTCACCATAACGTAAATCCAACGCGCTAACCAGAACTTCATAGTTGAAGTGGTTCTCCGCCGGAATCGTCTGAAGAACCTCTGCTGCTGAACCTCGCAGGGCCAGTATCAGTGCTGTTGCTCGTTCTTTTCCGTTCCAACAGTTACTAGTTGCCGCTGCTTCGTTTATAAAACTGGGTTTTATAAACGTTCCAGGACATCTCTTCGTCAAATGCTGGTACCTTCAAAGTTCTTCCGGATGCGTGATCTAACGGCATGGCCATTTTTTTGGATTGCTCCAATTCTCGCTCCAATTTGTCTATCTTGTTATCTACCTCAACGGTTTGACGATCAAGTTTCTGCTCGGTCATTTCTATTCTTGTTGACTGTTCTTCAATCTGTTCTGCCACTTCCAATTTTACGTGTTTTAACTCCTCTGTCCGTCGTTCGGACTGTTCTTTGATCTGTTGTTTTAACTCTTCTGTCTGTCGTTCGGACTGTTGTTTTATTTCAGTTGACATACTAAGCAGAAGTTCCATCATTTTAGCGGTTGTAAATGTGCCTGCGCTAATTTCATTGTCTTCGTCAGCACCATCAAACTTGAATTCGTCTGGGTTCTTACCTTCGTCAATGAGAGCTTCTTTCAGACGTGCTACTAGTACTTCTTTGTTGCCACTTGTGACAAGGCTTCGTTTCTGTAGTTCTTCTCGTAGCTGAACTACGTTCAAACCACACAGTTTTGACATTGTGTTCTTTTTCTACGAGTAGTAATTCGCTGGTCAAAGATCCCACTTCTGACACCAATGTTATAATATTCGCTGTCGTAACAAATCTTCGATTGAATAAAATACTCCAAACAGTTATTAGTTATTAAACTTTATTTACAGAAGAAATCAACTAATCGTTTATTTCCAGAAAATTCAAACTAATGCAGTTCTACTAGTTCTTCTCGTAGCTGAACTACGTTCAAACCACACAGTTTTGACATCGTGTTCTTTTTCTACGAGTAGTAATTCGCTGGTCAAAGATCCCACTTCTGACACCAATGTTATAATATTCGCTGTCGTAACAAATCTTCGATTGAATAAAATACTCCAAACAGTTATTAGTTATTAAACTTTATTTACAGAAGAAATCAACTAATCGTTTATTTCCAGAAAATTCAAACTAATGCAACAATTAACTTTTAAATTGTTCAAAATCTATCGCTATGACGTCAACAAACAAATCAAATATCGCTTTAAATAATTCACCGAATCGCTATTCACAAAATCACGAATTTCACTAATCCCGGATTTCACTAATCACGGATTTCACTAATCACGGATTTCACTAATCCCGGATTTCACCAATCACGAATTTCACTAATCACTTGCGACGTGCGCTTATATACTCTTCGCAAGCGTCGTTTCTAGATTCTTCTAGATGGTCCGATTCTAGCATACTCTAGAATGCTCCATTCACTAGAACATTCTAGAATACGCTAGAATCTAGTGCATTCGGTAGCACGGTTATAACAATATTGTATATGATATATTGTCTAATTGTTCAAACCAAGATTTGAGCACTATATTCAACTACATCCACTTCATTATACTACTTATAAAACTTAAATACTCGTTTGGAGTTAAATGGTCTAAATCTCATTTATTTGGGCATCTATTTATTTCTTATAAACTTTAAATAAGTAGTGTTACATTTTATTAAAACAATAGCAGTTATTTATTAAACTTATTTAAATCTCTGAGATGTCATTAATCGGTCAATAAAAATTTCATAATTCATATATTATCAATCAGTCAAAATCTTTGTTTAGCATCCAGAGACCCAGTTTCCTGAAGCAGGACGTTGTTTTCTTTGCCATCAACTTGGCAAAGTTGATGGCAAAGTTGATGGCAAAGTTGATGAGCAAAATGGCATATAATCAATTACCACAAAGTAAAAATGTACAAATATACATATATACAGACCTATCACATTATTTTTATTCTAACATTTACAGAGAACTAATTATATAGATAAAATGAAATTTCTTAATAATGCTCTCAGAACAAAGAACAACAACACACGTTTAGACGACATTTGGCTACCTATGATGAAACCGAAATACCCCTCGACGCCATTCCATCATAAGTAATTTATATGGCTAATTTTTACGCAGGACGCCTTTCCTTACGCAACCACAGTTATAAGCGGTGGGCCTAGGATTAACTCATTATAAATAAAATATATATATGTATATATACATATGTATATATAAAATAAATACATAAAAAATTGAACTAACTTCAGTTTCGGTGATTTTAATTTTGTCACAAACAACTTCAGATAAATCATTGTCAAAGTTAGCGTACATTGTTTCGTTGATCATTGGTGATGATGAGGATGAAGCAGATGATCCGATGTCTTTCATATTTCGTTGTAAAGATTGTTTCAAAATATCAATGTCTTCAAAATGGGTATCAATCAGAAATTCTTGAAAAAATCAGCTGAAAAATAGAATTTTTAAGAGGTTACATGACAGAAAATTAAGAGAATAGATGAACCTAAATTCATCTATAACAAAAAAATAGTTTAATTGCCAAATGTGAACAAGTGCATGTGTTTAAAATATACTTCAGAGTAAAAAGCCAAATCATACTAGTTTGTTTGCCAGAATGGAATTCAAATTTACAACCTTAAGATGATTAACTACGGTATCCAGAAACAACAGAATAATTTTAAAAAACCAAACCTAACTGGGAAAAGTTTCAATTTGGTTCCCACGGGGGTTCAGGCTGATAATCTAGTTGGTACTTGTAAAGGCAGGAGCCCTCCGGGCAAGCAAACTCTCTCCAAACAAAAAAGCCCTTGACAAAAAAAAACTTTCATCAGTATATTAATGCTATGTAATTGAAATGCATAACATCAGTATCAAATAAACCAAACATCTGAAAATATAGAGTTTGATAAAACCACTAATAGAATGTTATATTCAACAAAACTTTGATGGATACATAATTATACATTACAGCAAAAATGAGTTATAAAAAAAACTTCGTTTAGAAAATCAGGCTTTTCGCTTAATTTCATTCTGAACAATAGCTTTCCTCATCAAAATTTCACATCGGTTGCAAAAAAACATTATTTTAAAAATCAAACTTTCCATGAAACTTCATATAAACGAAAAACTTCATTCTTCACGTTAAACTCTCCACTAAACTTCACTATGAACATCAAACTTTTATTCTGAAAAACTTTTCAAAATGTCATTGTGAACATCAAATGTTCCACCACTAAACTTCATTCTGAACATAAAACTTCACTCTGAACATAAAAATTTCCATGAAATTTAGTTCTCAACAACTCAGTCTAAAGCTGACAAGGTTGTTTAAGCAAGGTAGCAGTAATGGCACTACAGTAGCACCACTACTTTTATAGTAGCATCAGCGCTGCAACATTCATTGAGCAGCAACTATTTACCCAAAATTTAAAACTGACTGGGTTGAGAATTTTATGCAAAAAACTAAATTAATTGAACAATTCAAGCTCTCAGTTAACTTACTGAATAAAAAATTTTGGGTGAAGAGATCTCAGGTGATTTTGGTTAACTGGTTACTCATTCCAACAGTGACAAGCCAAAGGACATTTTTTCAACGTTTTTGAACATAAGAAAAAACAATTATTTCAAAATCAATAGCAATGATGAAGTGCACAGGTTCATAAATGGATAGTTTACCCGAGTATAAGCAAAATATTTATAAATGGCTTAGCATCTAGTGATGTTGTTGAACATCTTTTTTCACTATGATATAGTCTTTACATGATCTGTCAAATGGTGATATACTATAAAAACAGATACGCTACATTTATAATACTTCGATTTGACTTCATAACAATTAGTTTTTCCTTACTTTTATTCATTCATTTCTTACTTATTCATTATTACTTTTATTTATTTTATCACCAGTCGTTAATAAAAATCAATATGCAAATCATTTTTGTAACATGAGACTATAGTTTTTTTGGAATAACCATCATAGCATTAACAATTTTAGTGCTACATTTTTACACAAGTAGCAATAGTAGTAGCACCACTGTAGCATTAATGTTACATTATGAGGACTCATGTATGAAGTAGTACCCAGTGCCAGAAAGTGGCGTATGTAGATAAATTTGTCTGCAGGGCCAACATTTGTGGTAGTGTAGCTGACAACATTTTCTCTTTTTAGTTCATCACGTCCTTTTTCCATAAAACGGTGCTTTTTTCTGATGTTAAAACATCAACTTTTACTGACTAGTATCAAAAGGACTGCTCACAATGTCCCGGGCCCTTTCCTACATCTACCACTGGTGCCAGGAGACAAGATATTATAATTATGAAATGTATATAATATGTCATAAGTAGATAGGGACTTATATGTAGATAGGGATACCAGCAACTAAACGAGCGGCACACATTCACACAAACTACATACACAACATATGCCAACTGAGCTGATTGTAAAGAATGATTCATGCTTTCACTGGACATGAAAATGCCTAAACTGAAATAAACAAAAATAAAAAAATCAAACGAATGAATAAATAGAATTTTAATTGGTTTTTTAACCAGACAAAACTGAAGCAGATCAAAAAACAAACAAATGAACATGAAAATGAAAAAATTTTAAAAGTATGGCCGTCAATCAACGACATGGGGCAAGATATGGCACAACACGTTGTCGATAAACAATTTGAAAAAAATGATTTTACCTGGAATGAAGCTTCCCCCTCTTTTTTCTCGGTTTCGAGCGGAATTTTCCAAAGCTTTTAAGGACGAATAAAAAATATAATTATAAATTCTTTTATATTAAAACGCAAAAGGATCGCCAATACAAGACACGCCGACCATACGAAATGAATATAACCACGCAGCCTACGTACGAGCAACTTATATAACGCTGATGTTGCTTGACTATAAATAGAAAAAGATTTTGGCTTTACCATAAAAGCAAAAAAAAAAACCATCTTTGTAGTACTAAGTATGTGACTGCCACTTAACATGAAATCCAACAAAATTGTTGACTTATTAAATAAAAATTACAATAAAAAGCTGAATGGCAGTAAAAAAACTGAACATACGTGTGTATTGTACACGCATGTATATGATCGTATATGTGCATTTGTGAATGTATATGCTTGCTTTTTATGATTTAGATTTGTGCATGAGCGATGGGCTCCGTGGATATGAGACGTTTAGTTATTCTTCACGTTATATGAAGAAGGCCGAAGGCCTATGACGTTATAAGCTCGGTATGGATTTGTCTATACCAGACCTTTATGGAGATAATATGGGGTTCTATGGCCTATGCTTGTGTTCACATTCGGATCGTAGTATAAGTGCATTAAGAAAACGGATTTGTGATATGCTGGGAGATCCCGGGTGAGTCTCATCGGTGCCTATATCTAATTAAGGTTTTTTGTTTTCTACTATTTTATAATTCTAAGAATACTCTTTTAATTTCACAATTTTAAATTATCTTTTTTCATTATTGTGATTACTAATATATAATATTGATTGTTATATCTGCTTTTATAATTTGTTTTTTCAATTATATAATATCTTTTCAATGTTTCGCTTTTGCACTTCGTTTGCCTTGCATGAGTTTAAATGTTTGTTTTGTTTCATTTTTTGTGTTTTAACTTTGAAATGATACCTTTGTTTTTATATAGATGACACTTTTAGGGACTCTGGGACACTAAAACTGCATTTTAATGCATTGTGAAACCCTGTTTTCAAAATGTTGTTTTTGAAAATAAAAACCACAAAGATCAAAAATTTATTTATAAATTTATAACACATCATATAAAGCGATATAAGATCCCAGTCCACATAGGAATCGATAGTAATGAAAAAGCAGATAGAGCAGCAACTATGGTTCACTCACCACAATGTCTGATGTCCCAATACCATACTCTGATATTATAAGAAATTCATAAAACAAAACTTTAATAGAAATAAGCGAGAAAATGGAAATGAAATAAATGCCTCTTTGAAACTTGTAATCCAAAATATAAAATCAATGAAAAAAACCAAAATTTTCTAAGTTCAATAGACATTTTCGGTTTTAATTAAACAAATTAACAAATTAGGCATACAAAAATGACACGCCGATGAATTCTGAAAAAGAAACCATCAAAAATTTGTGATCAATGTCAAACTAGATTATCAATACAACTAATACTGATAGATTGTATAAATTATAATCTAATCAGATATAAATACCTTTGTATGGATCAAACATTCATTTATTAACTATCTTATGTATTAATTATTATTAAAGATTATTGCAATTTCAATGTTACTTAATCTATTTTTATGTCTTTGCTTCTCTCTCGATTTCTTCCCTTTTTCCTGATAGCTCGTAAAACGAAACGGTTCGAGATTCACGTGGGAATAAAGATAATATTTTATTACGCCTGAATTGTGTTTGTTTTATTTATTTTAACTCACAACAAGGTGTCTTGTTAGTAGTATAAGTTCGTACTAACTCCTTTTTCCAAATAAGTTATCAGAAATATTTGTCAACCAAGATAATATCCAAAATATGTCGAAATTTCTAATCGAAATTGGCATCATAAATAATATATAGGTATTTAAAAATAAATAAATAAATAAAAGTTTTACAATGGCGTAAAGATAGTCGGGAAACATGTTAAAACGCCGTGAAAATTTGAACGAACGAACGAATGATATAAAGATTTAAACATGGAATTTTGAAGAGTGTTTAAAATAAATTAGGCGGCAAAATTATTGGCGTACCGATTTTAAGATAAAGAATATTTTGTGGTAAACGGCTGGGCTAAGTCTATAAAGATGTTCAGCAGGATAGTGTAGTGTCTTTGTCTTCCAAAATTGTATCCATAGACTCATATTTCATACATAGGTATTGTTAATTTTTGTATTAAAAAAGAATTGATTTGGTTAGCTGACTGATTTGTTGGAATTGGAATAACTCTTTTTTTCAACCATTACAAATCGTCTGATGCGACATGTTAAATATTACTCAGAATAATCAAATCTCCAACAGTATCACAAAATCCAATCAAGATAAATATTTTTACTTTTTCCTTCGGAACACTTCCGGTTTCTTCAATTAATAATTTTGAAAACTTTTTTGCTTTCAAGTTATTTCGGAAATTAACACTCGTTTTAACTTTTAAACTTTGACATGAAAACAGGCACTTTCTAATGAAATAATATATATGTATATTATATATGTTTCAATATATTTATGACTTTCCATAGTTTTCAGACAATCTTATATTATTGCTAACTTGACTAACTTGCACGTGTATGTTCTATTCGCTTTTTGTCGACTAACGTGTCTTCTAATATTTCAATTAACGTTTCTTTAATAAACAATTATATTAAAAACAAACAAAGAAGTTTTTTATTTTAAACAGGTTATGAGCCCAGAACGCTTAATAAATTGTTTAGAGAAAAAGTTATTTTGAAAAAAAAGAAAGATTGCAATTCGTGACTAAAAGAACTTTTCCAACTATCGTTGAAGCAAGAACATCAATTTTTTTTCCTTCAAAATGGACTCAAAGCTTCAAATAAAAGTTAAGTTGCGCAGCCGATTGGCCCATTTGGAGACGTCGTGTTTGAGATTTCATGGATTACCATGAGGGTGCACTTGATGTGATTGATGGCAAGTTGTCAAAACCAGAATTACTAGAAAATCAAACAGAGCAACAGACAAAAGATTATAAAAATAAATCAGATCTGTTTAGAAAGGCAAACAGTTATGCCAAATCAGTAATTGTGAATGCAGTCACAGAAGATACATACCAAAAGATAATGGACAAGAACACAGCGTTTGAAGTTTGGGAGGAATTAAAAAGAAATTTTGAAGTGTCAACTAAGGACCAACTGTTCCAAGTTTGTAGCAATTTTTTCGATTTCAATTGGATAGCAGATGTAGATGTATCCGGCCATATTGCAAGATTGAGGACTTTATGGAACGAATTAAACAGTGGGCTTCAGGCATCGGGAGAAAATAAACTACCAGAGCTGCTATTAGTATGCAAAGCGATGCAGATTCTCCCAAATAGTTTCCCAAACTTCAAATTAAGTTGGCTAATGGTAGGTGAAGAAAAGCAGTCGATAGATGATTTAATCACTCATCTCTGTGCTTTCGAAAGAGAGATAAAAACTTTCGACACAATTGATAAATCATCAAGGCAGAACGCCTTAGTTGTAAATGTTGAAAAGCCAAGTTTCAACAAATCAAGAGATTTCACTAAAAGGACAAAACCAGTTGGTAACTGCAACTATTGCCATAAACCTGGACACTGGGTTAAGCAATGTAGAAAGTGGGTCAGTGATAGAAGACCTTCTAAAAATTCCAAAAATGTTTTAGCGACACCAAGAAAAGCATATGATGAAACATCAAATGTAGTTTTGTGCACGTCAACCGGTAATCAAACACTGAGAGACAACACTAAGTGGTATATTGACAATGGAGCAACAAAGCACCTAACGAACAATCCAGATAATTTTGTTACTTTTGAGAAGTTTGTCACACCATGTTCTTTTCAAGCTGCAAGAAAAGAAGTTCTTGCTGCTGTGGGTAGAGGCGAAATAAATATGCTATCAACAGTAAATAACAAACAACAGTATATAAAACTCTCAGATGTCTGTTATGTTCCAAATATAGGTAAAAACCTGTTTTCCATATTAGCAGCACAAGATAATAATTCAAAAAACAGCAAGTTTGAATCTTATGCAACCAAATGTCAACTCAGTATAAAGAACCGAGTGGTAGTACAAGGGACAAGACGAGTAGATGGTTCCTTGTATGAGGCAAACTTGATTTCATTAACTCCAGATACACCGGCTGAAGTGAATATAGTCAGTGAAAATTCAATAGTGCAGCTCTACCATGAACGTTTTGGTCATCAAGATAAACGTCACATAAAGAATGTTATAGAAAAGGAGTTAAACATTAAAGTTCATCTTGACAAGGATTTGTGTGAACCATGTCTCTATGGTAAAGCACATCGGTTAAAATTTGGCAAGAGAAATGCAACCAATAAACCAGGTGAACTACTATCAGCAGATATTTGTGGTCCTTTCAGTACAGAATCATTTAATAGTAAACAATATTTTGTTGTTTTCAAAGATCATTACAGCAAAATGAGGTTCATTTCTTTTCTTAGACACAAAAATGAAGTGAAACAGGCACTACACAATATTTTGTCTCAAGCAGCGACTCAAGGTCATAAAGTAAAAGAATTTTTTAGTGACAATGGGGTTGAGTTTGACAACGAAGAAGTTCGAAACATCCTGCGCAGCCATGGAATCATGCAAAAACTAACAGCACCATATACACCTCAACAAAATGGTGGTAGTGAACGTGAAAACAGAACAATAGTAGAAATGGCACGCACATTGAAGTACTCAAATCCAGATTTTGAATTTCCAGTCGCTATGTGGGCTGAGTTATGTTCAACTGCAGTATATTTACTTAATCAAACAGGCAAGTCGTCGATTAAAGATAAAAGCCCATTTAAAATTTGGACAGGTAAAAAGCCGAGAATTAACCATTTGAGAATACATGTTTTGTTCACATACCTGATCAAAAACGGCAAAAAATGGATAAGAAAGCCATAAAAGGTTACCTTGTTGGTTACGATGGTGACGAACGCTATCGTATATGGCTCAAAAATCAATATAAAATGATATTCTCAAGAGATGTAGTTTTCCAAGAAAAACCTATGAAATTTACAACATCATTTGAACATCAGACTCAAAAAGATTTTACAACAGATCCTCAAATCAATTGCAAAACAGAAAATGACTCGAGTAGTAGAAATGATGATTCAAAAGAAGAAATTACAGATGACACTGAGAAGATTATAGATAATTCAGTTAAACTTCAACTCAGAGATAGGTCAAGCTTACAGAAACCTAAGAAGTTAGATGATTATGTGATGCAGGCTGAGACATATTTATTAGATGTACATGAACCAGATACATACGAAGAAGCCATTCAAAGCAGAGTCAGACTGAAACTCCTGTGTGGACATATGGGACTAATGTCATAAAATGTTTTGAAACAAGGGAAAGTATTGAAATAATATATATGTACATTATATATGTTTCAATATATTTATGACTTTCCATAGTTTTCAGACAATCTTATATTATTGCTAACTTGACTAACTTGCACGTGTATGTTCTTTTCGCTTTTTGTCGACTAACGTGTCTTCTAATATTTCAATTAACGTTTCTTTATAAACAATTATATTAAAAACAAACAAAGAAGTTTTTTATTTTAAACACTTTCACGTCAGAAGAACTGTTACAACAAAACAACATATGCCACACAACAGTCAGTTATTCTCATTTATTTACTGTGGCGTTCTCTTGCAAATGGCGCATTTTTCTTCGCGGTTAATTAAAATTTTTTCATAAAGATTCCGAAACTTCGTTGCTCTGTTTTATTGCAAAGAATACTCAATCATTTAATCAATCAACCTACCAATCAATTTTTCAATCACATAGTTTGTAAAGCGTCTTTTCCGTGATGTTCAACAGATCTCTTCGGTAAATTTTGCGTAAAGATTGGATTTGAGATCCGCTCCGAACATTGCAAATGATAAAGAAATAGAAAGAATGTAGAGACTTCTAGAGAAAAGGGCCAGAAAAAGCAAACGCAGATTTAGCATAAGAGTGTTTAACACGAGTTAAGAAAAAGTGAGAATAAGATGTGAATATTTTAAGCATTGTGAATATTTTAAGCATTACTTTCATTATTTTATCATTATTACTTTATGTCTTTTATGCAAACGCACCCGTCAACTGCACGATTGAAATAATTATCGATACAAAATTATCGTAGCGTCCATCGTCATTGAAAATACTTAAAAATTTTCTGAAAAAGTTATTGAGAAATATACAGTATAAGTGCAAAGGCATCGTTTTTTAGCCCAACTGATAAACTTTATATGCCAATTGATGAAATTGCTATGGAATTATATGGAATTATTGTTAGTTTGTCATTTGCAAACTTTTATTTAGGATGTATAAAAAATAATATGTTTAACAACACCAAGACTAAAACCACATTTATAAAAGCGTTCCGCGGAGAACTTAAGAGAAGCACCGTTTCATGTAGAAAATTAAAGATTGACGTGATAAACAAAAAAAGCCGTAAAAATTTCAAAATATTTCAAAATGTAAACATTTTCAAAATTTTGACCCACTTCCAGTCAAAATTGTCTAGATCCGCCATTGCATACGCTGACGTTCATGACATTTTTGTTTCTAATGAGAACAGTGGATAAATTATTAGAAATGTTAGGTGAAATTTACGATCGAAATCTATGAGTAGAAAAACTAGTTTTTTATACTCATAGATCAAACAGGAAGGGACCATTATGAACCAATATAATTATTGAATAGGAATGTTGACATGGTTATTTTATTTTTTTGGGATGCTTATAATTTTTAATACGAGGAGAAATTAAAAATCAGTTTGTTATTCCATATTTTTTGTTTTGTGGTTTGCTGTTGCTGTTAGAAATATGCTAGCCGTTTAATTTTTTCGAGTTATTGAAATTTGTTATGTCTAAAAGCAATTTAATGGATACGGTCGGTTAGTAATAAAATTTAATTATTTTTTTCTATTAAAGTTTGAAACAGTTACAAATCTCATGAACAGTATCTGTATGTGGCACTCCTTATTGCCCTAACAGCTAACTAATCGGAAAAAATTTGAGTTGCGTGAAGTTAGTCAAGGATTCTTCAGCCAAGAATTTTAATAAAGTTTTAAATAAAACTCAAGAAACTTGTAAAGTAATAATCTAGGGCGTTTGGTTAAAATTTTAATGAAATCTGAAAAAAAAATGAAGTTGAAGTTCCTTTGTTAATTTGTGTAACGATAAACGCCGACCATGAACTTGTTAGACTGCTATAAGGCGTGCGTACGAAAATATGTTCAAAAATTATTTTTTATATTATTTTAAAAAGTATTTGTAAAAATTTTCGTTACTTACAATTGAAAATAAATTTAAAAAAATTTTGTAATACTTTTATTTATTATCTTTGGCAAGAGTTCATTTTCCTTTTTCTTTCAGTTGTGAGTGGCGAGGCTTTTGAAGATTCGCTTGATTTTTATTGTTTTGTTTGATATAATTTAATTAAATAAAATAAAATCTGTTATTTTATCACTCTAATTTGAGAAAATGAGTTCTGAGTCATTAAAGTTAGGAGATGGATTTGTGAATGTTGAAAAAGCGGTTGACGTGATAGAAAGTTTCCTTGTTGTGTGGTTGCATTGCCTTGCAGTTTATGTGGCATACTGCAAAAATCTGAAGGTAGTAATAAAAATTAAATTGAAATATTTAATAATGATTAGTGATAATAAAATTTTGTTTATTGTTGTATGTTGCAAGTGATAATAATACTTTAAAAAATTTAAATGAAGTTTTTAATAATGATTAATGGTAATTAAATTTTGTTTAATAATAGTTATCTGAAGAAACAGCCAAAAACTGTGTTCAGATGGATTGCATAGCATCAATTAACGATGTTAGAGAAATAATTGATCCAAGATGCACAGATGACCATGCTAATATGTCCACCTTGAAACAATATTTTTCCAATGAAGCATGGACAAAATTAGAAAATAAGATGTGGTCAATTGGACAAAATTTGTATGTTTGTGTTGTTTGTAGACCTGGAAGAGACAACCAAACTTGTACTTTGGGGGTGCAGTGTGATGCCTGCGTAAACTGGCACCACTCACTGTTCATGTGTTGAAATGAAAAGGCTACCACAAGGGACGTGGTTTTGTCGACAGTGTTGATATAACAATCTTGGGTCTTTTGGTAACTGTTTTGTCTTAACACATGAACAATGTACCCGTGTGCATTCCTGTGTAAATATGTGTGTTTGTCTGTTTGTGTTACTATACGACACTTGATGCAATAAATTTTTTATTTTAAAAATTGTCATTCTATAACAAAGATGCTTTATATTGTCCTAATAAACGTCCAATTTTGCGCTTTGACTGCGTCCTGTATTGTCAAAATAGCGTCAACTTTGTTGTACAGACTTTAACCATCTCAACGTCGAATTCGTCGTGTGAATCTCACGCTTTTCACCGTCTAAACGTCGTATTCGCCCACTCGTGATTCGCACGCCTCATAACATTTCGACGTGCGGGTTCCTCACGATATATATTTTCGAACGTCGTATTTGCCTGTTCGTGATTCGCACGCCTTATAGCATTTCAAAGTCGACGTGCAGGTTTCTCAAGATTTATGATTTCAAACGTCTAAACGTCGTATTCGCCCGTTCGTGATTCGCACGCTTTATAGCATCTCAAAGTCGAATTTGGCATGCGGGTTCGGATTAGTTAGGGTTATTTTTTATTTTCATTTTAACGTCGAATTCGTCGTGCAAGTCTAACGCTTTACACCTTTCAAATGTATTCGCCCGCTCGTGATTCGCACGCCTTGTAGCATCTTAACGTCGAATTTGACGTGCAGATGCCTCACAATTTATAATTTCAAGCGTCGTATTCACCCGCGAATCGCACGCCTTATAGCATCTCAACGTCGAATTCGCCGTGCGGCCTCACGCCTTATAGCATTAGCACGTTCAATTCGCCGTGCGGATTTTTTACGCCTTATGGCATCTCAACAGCGTGTTCGCCGTGCGAACCCGCACGCCTTTGAGCATCTCTGCAGCGTATTCGCCGTGCGATTCCGCACGCCTTATAGCACTGACCATTTGTTAAGCTTAATTAATTTTTAATTTAACAAGAAATATCCATTAAAAACGGATTTTTGTGAATAAATTTAATCTTCTAGCTTAGAGGGTGTGTGAGATATGCAGGTCATATTAACAACAGTTTTAAGCAAATATAGTTAAAATTCCATCTGAGATTTGAAGTTTAGTTTTTTTAGAATAAATATAAGCGTTAAATAGTTATTTAAGCCAAGGATTTTTTAGCTAAAGATTTCAGTATATTATTATTTTACAAGTTACTCAACTTTTATTCATCTAACATCATTTATCCATCTAACTCTCTTTATTCTATCTATGAATCTGAATTGATTAATTATAAATATCTACTATTCTCTAAACACTCTACTTTTCTTAGAAATTCTATAACATCTGCTTCAACATCTAAAAATAGGTGGTCTGTTCTATCTAAACTTCTACATAAAAAATCCTCTCACTCATCTTTTTCTGCTCAACAGTTTCATGACTTTTTTGTAAATAAAATTACTTCTTTAAGAACATCTAATTTTAATTTTTCTTCTCATAACTTTACTAAACTTACTACTGAATCTTTTTCTGTATTTACTCCAATAAATCTTTTAGAACTAACTAAAATTATTAATTCTATGTCGTCTACAACCTGTTCTCTAGATCTACTTCCTTCTAATTTACTTAAAGAATTTTCTTCAATATTTTATCCAATCATTCTCAAATTTGTTAATTTATCTCTTTCCACCTCTAAATTTCCTACTTCTTATAAGAATTCTATTGTTATTCCTATTCTTAAAAACTCATCCTTAGATCCTACCTCTTTATCTAATTATAGACCTGTAACTAATATTACTTTCATCTCTAAAATAATAGAAAAAGTAGTTTTTAATCAACTGTCATCCTATTTAGACTTTAACTCCTTGCTACATGTATCTCAATCTGGTTTCAGACCTGCTCACAATACTGAAACTTCTTTACTTAAAATACACAATGATATCCTTCTCTCTAGTGACAATAGTAATCTTACTCTTCTTCTTGCTCTTGACTTTTCCTCAGCTTTTGATACTGTTGGTTCTCTTGAGACTGCTGCATCTTTCTTTTAATATTACTGATTCTTGTCTATCTTGGTTTTCTTCTTATCTCTGTAATCGTTTTTCTTCTGTTGTTCTCAATAATTCTACTTCTAACTCCTCTACTCTTACTTTCGGGGTACCTCAGGGATCTATCATTGGCCCTCTTCTATTTATACTCTATACTTCTGAACTACCTCGTATTATTAATAACTTTTCTTTCTCTAGTCAACTATATGCTGATGATTCTTACATTTATACTTCTTTTCCTCCATCTAATCTCAATAGTGTTCTTCATAATTTATCTCTATGTCTTTCTTCAATTATCGCTTGGTCTGACTCTATGTGTCTTAAACTTAATCCTTCTAAGTTTGAATTAATTTGTTTTAATAAATCTAAACACTTTATTACTATTCCTCATATTATTTTACCTGATTCTAAAACTCTTGATGTTTCTCATAAGTTTCGTAGTCTAGGTTTTATCTTTGATTCTACTATGTCTCTCACTTCTCAGATTAATAGTGTTGCTAGAAGCTCTTACTTTCATCTACGTAGAATAAAAAACTTTTGCCTTTTCTTGATGATCCTACTCTTCTCCTTCTTGTTACTTCGTTAGTTTTATCTAGGATTGATTATTGTAACTCGCTCTACTATGGTCTTCCTGACTCTATACTCTATCCTTTAAGTAAAGCTTTTAACTCTGCTGCTCGTCTAGTTGCTCGTGCCCCTTTCTTTTCTCATATATCTCCATATCTTGTTCTCTTGCACTGGCTACCTATAAAATATAGAATAATTTTTAAAATTTGCAAGTTCGTGTATAAGTCTCAATCTAAATTATTTCTTAAGTATTTATCAGATATATTAATTGAACCTAAACGTCCATGTTTACGATCGTCTTCTTCTTCTCGCTTTTTCTTAACTCGTGTTAAACACTCTTTTGCCAAATCTGCTTTTGCTTTTTCTGGTCCTTTTCTCTGGAACTATTTCAACTATTTGACAAGTAAGGATCTAAAAAATTACCTAATTAAATCATTTTAAATTTAATATAAATAAATAATCAAGTGCTAGATAATTCAAAATGGGCGGAGTTAATTTATTAAAAGTACATTATGATTGTGTGTAAACATGGACGATACCGTAGGAGTACCTATCTCCCGTTTTACCAATTACATGTACTTAGGTGTCACGTACAAGTACTTATAATTTGTACTCATGTACTAGTCGAGTACAAGTTCCAAACAAAATGCAAGTACTAAATCAATGATATTGATATTTACAAGACACAAAGCAACAGTACCTGGCCAAATTTTCTATGGCGGATATAAAAAATTCCTACTATGTGCATCCCTTGTTATCAATAGAAAGATAATCAAATATGTAAAACTTTGCTTATAGATTTAATCAAAACCTATTTATTTTTTGGAAAGGAAAATTTAAGGATAAAACAATTCCAGAAATTTAAAAATCAAAATCTATCTAAATATAAATTATTATTATTATTTATTTTATTTGGTTACCTGATTCATTTCCAGAATATTTCATTCTAAAGTGATGTTTCCTGTGTCAATTTTTATTTTTAAAATTTTTTCGAGTACACATATTGTTGGGTTCATAATAAGTCAAATTTGTTGTATTTTGTATTTAATACAAATTAGCAGATTTGGATCAGTCCCTTATGAGTTTTGAACGTATGGACAGAACATCACCTGATCTTTGGCCTGAACAAAGTTATTCTAGAATATATTGAATCTTTACAATAACTAATTAATTTATATTAAAATTTTTTCAGTTCCTGGTGTATCTGATTACTCTGATCTCTTGGTAAGCATCACAGTTAAATTTTTGTGTTAATAAAAAACATTACAATTTTTTTATTTATAAATATAAATAAAAAGATTGCTCTTTCCTCTGTCACAAAGCATCTGAATTTTTTAACTTTCCCAAATATATACCTCAACATCTATGTATTTGCTTTTTTGGAAAAATCGTAGTGAAAATTTGTACAAAATATATTCCACTTCTAAAACTCAAAATCATTGCTAAATTTGACTAAAATTGCAACAAATTTTTTTTAAATTATACAAGATGATGCACTCACTATTGTGTGCGTGTGTGTGCGTACGTGCGCCTGTACCTGCATCCATTCTGGTATATTGTATAGAGCATTTTTTGGCTAACTTTTGGAAATGCTTTCTATTTTGCTCACAAATACATTTGTATGAATTACTTGTTTTTTGAAAATTTAGACTAAAATAGACAAAAAATAATTCGTTTGTTACTTTGACACAAGAAACATTCAAATGATGTTTTTGTATAAGAATGTAGTTGGTTTTGTTTGACAAAAAAGCCTCCATTGTTTATCCAAACAAAACCTTCATTTATAAAACTTTTTTCATTTCTGTAATGTAAGTAATTCAATTCAATTCAATGATGTGTTTATTTAGCAAAGCTAGGAGACCCGAAAAATGACTTGTTGGGCAACCCAAAATTGAACAAAAAATTATAAAAAGTTATTTTACAGTTCACAATGAAGGGAAAAAACGACAACAGAAAAATGAAAACATAGTTCTGTACAAACAAAACAAAAAAAAATTCAAAACACTTTCAACCGTGAAAATTAAATAATTAGAAATTTCTGAAATAATAAATATACAATCGGAAATAAAAATAAATTGTTATGCCCTCATAATTTGAACAAAATTTATATAACAAGAAATAAATACATATAAACATATACGTACACAAGCATACACACATACACATATTCAGTAAGGAAACATCACAACACCCACAATGTATGAGCATTCAGTCAACCAGAACCAAAAACCTAACGAAAACTAGAAAAGTGGTCTGATAATAACAAATCATAAATAAGATTTTTAAATAAACCATAAGGTGCAGAATTCGTAATATACACGGGTAATAAATACCAAAGACGAATAGAAACTGAAAAACCAAATTTGAAAAAAGATTTAAACGTGGTGTGGGTAAATAAAAATCGGGTCTATATCTTAAAACAGTCTACATATTTGATTATAAAGAGATGGACAATAATTTAATTTATACAATTTATAAATGAATAACAATGTGTACAAAATGTGTAGTCGATTTACTATTAAGATATTGTTTATACAGTAGTACTGACTGACATGAGCATATTTATTAAGACCTAAAACAGTTCGTAAATAATAATTCTGACATACATACAGACCAAAAACAGTTCGTAAATAATAATTCTGACATACATTAAGAAGATGGAGATTAGATTTAGTGGAAAAATCCCAAATAGGAATACAATATGTTAAACAAAGCAATACGATTGAGTTATACAATGTCTGTAAAATATGGTTTGGAAATTTAAGTCTTAGTCGATGTATTACGCCTAAGTTTTTTGAAATCTTTTTAGAGATAGAATGAATATGATCAGACCAGGATAAAGTACTTGACAAAGTTATACCTAAAAATTATTTTGAATTTACTCGATTAATAACATTGTTATTCAACATTAGTTGAATATTAACGAGGTTAGTTTTTATCCTAGGTCCAAATACAATAAATTCGATCTATATTCTTAAATTATTTGATTGAACCTAATTGTAAACATTAAGAAGTTCATCATTAGAAATAGAAACCAAACTATAAATAACAGAATAATAAACGAAGAATTGAAAATAATGATGCATCATTAATAAATTCATAAACCATATCTGGCGATAACAGAGGAGAAGTGTTATATAAATAAATAAATACATAAGAATCTGAATCAATATTATTCAAAATAGATGCATTAGCATCATGATTAGATGAAAAATTAACATTAGAATCACTCATTATTATTTTTTAAATTGTCCTGGGTTGGCTGTGTAGATGAACCAAATGTCCATTCTTTGATCTTCACGTACTCATGCTAAGAGTCCTCTTCCAACATCGCCGAAGAATCTGTAGCATCTACACAAACACGAAAGGATGTGGAAGGTTGGGAGTCATCAGGTTTTGAATTCACCTTCTTTTGTCTTAAATGCTGGGAAGCAAGAAACAACGTTTATATTTAGTAGCTTAAGAGGATTAACTATGTCAGCTGCCCCACATCTACTGACATTACTGACATGGGAGAACTTTTTTTTTTATAAAAATTTTATTAGCTTTAAGAACTTGATCGGGGACCTTGCGAGAACCGATCGTTACTTTCCTGACCGTTGGCTGATCAGGAACATTTGTGCTTCTGCTTTTATTACGTTTATCCACAATAATAAAATCATCTGTAGAAGATTTAAGTCCACTTTTAACAATGTCAGAAAAAGACAGAATGTTCTTTACAGATCTACTTATTGTCTCATCCTGGACAGTAGTTCCAGACATTTCGATTTTCTCACTTTTTAGTAACTACGTTGACTCTTGAAGTCTTGCAATTTTGTTAGACAGGTCATTACACAGGTCAGCCATACCGTTGGCTAAAGCAGAAAGCCCATCCATAATGTTCATCTTCTGACAAGAATCACATGTCTATGAGAAGCTACTAATTTCTCTCATGACTGTTAGAATTTTAGCTGTTAAAGTTTGCCATTTGTTGACAATTATGCAATTGCATGTTGAACAAATAATTTCTTTTTCCTTCTCTCTTTCCTTGGCAGTCGTTATACGTGTAGTCATTCTACCGGCATGAGACATGCCGAAAAAGGTAAAAACGAAAATGTAAACAGTAGCAATTAAAGCAGCTATTACACGAAATAAGATTTAAATTAAATTAACCAAAATTATTAGCTAAAAAAGTATATTATGGTTAAACAATTAATTTAAAGCACGAGCGAAAATTGTGGACAGACATAAGATAAGCCATCTCACAAAGTAAATGATTTATGGCAAGATTCATCTGAAGATTACATAGGTTTAAGACAATTTCGAAACAATCCATACATTTTTCGTTATATTAACGTTATAAAATAAGCTATTATGTAAAAAGCTTAAACCATTCGAAAAACGGCTATTGACAAGACTTCATTTAGATATTTGATACTATATTACGTTGTTACGTTTAAATATGATGTGTCTCTATTATTAAGCGATTAAGATAATGATGTGATATAAAAAGATTAAGAAGCTGTTTTATTGCAAAAAATGATGAATATTTTAAATCGCAAGTTATTGAAATGTTCTGACTTTTTTTGAATGAATAAACGTTAGATATGAAATTTTATAAATTTTATGTTTTTAACTAACTTCAAGACGTCTTCTCTAGTTTTTTTTTACATTTTTTTGTCATGTTTTCGCAGGTACTGTTATCTAAAGATAATTTCTTCAAAGCAGATTCATATTAATCTTTAATTTCATTTGGATAATCACTCTACCCATCTTTTTTTATCACAGTTATTTTCTATTCTATATTCAGTTATTTTCTACTCATGCTTCTTTTACTTCCAAATTTGAATGCAATATTGTATCCAGCTAGCCACTGATTTTGATATTCTCAAGAATTGTATTTTTATTAATTTTCTAAATGTTGTACAACTCATTCGCTAAACTTCCATTTTACTCCTTGCATCATCTGTTCTACAATGGCTGGAGCTATATTGATTGATCTTTATTAACATCTAGATTTTTCATTTCTAACATATTTAAAAATGTCGTTTTGTAACTGAAAAGCTAATACAGATTGTTATATATTTCCGCAGGTAGCGAATTCAAACTTGAATTAGTTTTTAAAATATTTTTTATTTATAACCCATACGTCCGAAAAGCCCATATGTTCAAAAAAAAACAATAAAAGACAATTTTATTAAATCTTACAAAGTATTTTTTTCGTCAACAAATAGCATGTGTTAGAAATTATTTTGATGTTTTTCAGCCAGAACCTTCACCTCCAAAATGGTTAGACGAAGTTGAAAAAGTTGACCACGACATGCTGCAAGGTAGCTCTGGGTATATGTTAATCATATTGTTGTGTTGTAAAATTGTTACGTTGTAAAAATATTTTAACTGCTTTCATTTTGTTAAAAAAACAAAAAACGAGCTAATACATAAAGTTTGAGTTTAAAAGAATCTGTGTTTGAAAAGTATATTATATTGAAAAACTCATACAAATTTAAATCAATGTTGAAACATAAAATTAATTGTGTTTGACTGTGACAACATGAGGGAGAGTTGTGATGTGGGTAGGTGGATGGCTGTGAAATGGATGGCTGATAGTGGATCTTTGGACAGTTGTGTAATGGACGAGCGAGTTGGATATTTAGATAATTGTGCAATGGATGGATGAGTGGATAGTCGTGAGACTGATGAGATACAAGTGAGAGAGTTTTAGTGAGAGAGACTTAGTGAGAGAAACTACCTCCACGAAGAACATACCAATGTAGCAAAAATATTGAAAGAGACAGTTGAAAATTAACTGAAAAATTCAAATATTACCAAAGATTCGAAAATACAGAACTTATTGACACGGGAAATCATTGACACTGAAAACAAAAAGAGAAAAATATCGCAAAAAGCATTCAAGGGATTGGAAATAGTGGTTCTTTAAATTGCAGAACAAATAATAATTGGATAAAGTAAATGTTTTTTCGTTGAGAGTTTATGACGGAGGAGTAAAAAAAATTTAGCAAAGTAACAATTGAAAAAGAACAAACTAAATTGATTATAAATTGTGTGAAGAAGAATTAAAGTGCATGGCTAATTTGAATTGGGGATGCAGACCAAAATATTGCTACATAGAGTCGAATTGGCTTTTGGCCAAAAAACGATCTAAGGTGAATGAGTCGATTAAGATTTGTAAAAAATTGAAAATGGGTCGTTAAGATGTGGGACTATGATCACTGAAAACAAACACAAAAACTGCCGAAAGTTCTATTTAAACTCGGATTGGGTGCTGAGTGGTAAGATTCAGAGAAATGAATTAGGAATGCAGTGAAAGCAGCAAACCAGTAGTTGCGTATGTTCTTTTTGGGTGGTTTATTTTTAGTTAAAATATTCAGCTAAATGATGTCAGTAAAAATGGCTTTATTTAACTTTTTGTTGCATTGTTTTATTTTTTCATTAAAACAATTTTAAATGTTGTTTAAGACATCGGTTAGTCATTAAAGTAATGTTTCCCAGCATTTTCCTTTTTTAAGGTGTTGGCTTCCCTAAAAAATATATATATATTTATTAATTCAATATAAATTATATAAAATTTGTTTAAAAATTTTTTAATTTTTTTGTAGAATTTAGCAGTCTGACGACCTCTCAGTTAATCGAGAAAGTTAAGGATCTGCATCAGTTGGCATTTCAACTCGGTCTTGATGAAGGTAAATAATGCCTGAACCATGTCTACCTGCCTGTCTCTCTGCTAACAGCATTAAAATGTTTCAATTATGCATTATATTCAGTGAAAACATCTACTCATTTTTGCCTGTGTTTAGAAGACCCAGCTTGAATAAAATTATTTGTTTATTTTATAATAAGGCGTACAAACATAAATTTATTGTATTTTTATGAAAGTTCAATATTGTAACATTTTTTTAAACTTTCCATTCAGCTCATGAGATGGTGAGAGGAAAGTTTTTGAATATTTTGGCAAGGACGCAGAAAAAAATATAGTTTAGGTTTTTAATAATTTTTTTTTATTTCATTCTGTAAATAATTTCAAATACATAATTTTATGTAACTTTTGGTTAATTTAATTTTGTATTTTAGTAAATTTATATTTTTCATATTGAACCGGGGCATATTGAACCAATTTTTAGTAATTAACTCATTAAATTTTTGTTATTGCATTAAAACTTTTTGAAATAGGTCATTTTTAGGTAAAAATATGTCTATAGCGTGTCGCAAAAAATATATTTAATTCTAGCGTGTTTTTTTGACAATAAAAGGATATATTTGCAAGCCTGACAAAATCATATAAGCGACAAAATCATATAAGCGACAAAATCATATAAGCGACAAAATCATATAAGCGACATTTGCTTGGCAATTTGCTGATATACATGACAGATTAACTCAGCTAGTTCTTTTTGCATTAATAGTTAGAATTATAAAACGCCTACTGGTATTTGTTATAAATAAGCAAATTTACCTAACTGGTTCAACCAACCCGTGGTTCATAAAGCCCCGGTTTCCCATTCTATCGATTTATGGGCGCAAAAAATAAATTCAAACATTTCAAACTCTTTAGAGTTATGTGTGTGAAAAGATTGAACAAAATAACATTTAATCGGCTGAATAATAGAGACGTAGCGAATGTTTAACCTGGTGGAATATTCGCCCGAAATTTGACATTCGGCTTAGACCATTTTTAGACCGAAGAGACAATAGTGCAATTTTTGTTTAAACCGTCACTTTTTTGGATTCCGAAACAATAATTGTTTATTCTTATTAGCGAAAAATTTATTTTGGCCATCATAGCTGTTAAAGCTTCTGAATATGAACAAGAGATTGAATATTATCTCGATAAAAAATTGTTGAGTAGACATAAATCGCATTCTGTTTTTTCAATAACTCTTTTTTCATTCTATTTTCATAATTGTCGATTTTCTGGCATTCGATTTCGTCCGAATAGTGGATTAACCAAATTCACTATTCGGTGTATCTCTACGGAATACGATTGATGAGGCGTGGTGCTAAAATCTAGCCAAGCCAAACAAGTTAGAGCTGATATTCAGCTTAGCTTCTGACTGTAAGTCGAATTGGCGCAAATTAGTATGGAAAAAAAGTTTAAAGGTCTGTCTATTATACTCTTCCCAGGTTCAGAGAAATCGTCAACGCGCACAAACATCGTACACGAATACATGCTAGACGTATCACACACGAAGCATGTGATAGGTGGGGATTTGGTTGATTTTAGTTTAAAAAGTTTGCCATGCAAATTTCGTTTTCGGAGCTGATTATTATTTTAGGTTAGCGAGGTTCTCAGTCACTTTCAGCATTAAATTTATTTTTCTTTAACTTATTTTATTTATTTTCTTATTTACTTTCCCGGTTTAGCTTTGAATAAATGCATTGAGTTGTTTTTTGTGGTGGCCCCGCGTTTTATGTTTCCTCTTATTTCATGTCATTTTTTACGTAAGTATTAAACGATTTTTTTAATTAAATGAAAGTTCGGATGCCGGCTTAACGAAAATGCCCTATGTTTGTTCAGTTACAATACTTTGGTTTAGGTTTTCCAGCAAAAATAGAACAGTTTCGTGAAATGAGTTGCTACAAAAGATTGTTGAGAATAAGCTAGAGACAAAAGGTGATATATGAACAAACAGGGCCTGTTACCATTACAAAAATACTTTACAAAGTTAATAAAATTGAATCAACAGTTGTTTCTTCAGCTTTCCTAATTAATCTAAAATTTAGCTTAAGCTTATGCCATTAAATTTGCAACGATAATTTATATTTTCAATACGATTTATTAAACCACTATGGATGTTTAGCGCACTCTTTTATATTTGTGTTCTAGATAAAAAAAGTTTTACAAATAAGTTAAATTATAAAAATAATTTCAAAACATAAAATTATTAGAAAGAGCAAACGTTAGAACATGTTACAACAACTGAAATAATGATTGAAAGTTTAATAGATCAGAGCAAGCTTTTGAGCGATTTGTTCGGTGAAATAATCGAAGTACGGCACATTGCTAAAGAGAGATTTGAACGAAATATTTAAAAAGGGTTTTCGAATAATTTTATGAAGTTAAAGACGATGGAGCTTTTTTCGAATCATCCTCAAATTCTTCTTTCTTCGTCACTGTTACGAGGTGCTCATATTTTTTGCGCTTGAAAAATCCACACTAAAAATTGTGTAAGGAGAAATTATTATTAATAATAATGAAAATTTTTGAAATATAAAAAAGGCCATAATAAAATTAAACACTGACAGCTGTAGCCATTTTATATATGGCAGTTACAAAAAGATTAAAATAAATTAACTTATTAAATATTAGCTTATACAAAATTATTAGTCGACGAAAGTTGTTACAGAGCGAAAAATTCATTCGGCATATCTGATCATAAAACATTTAAAAAGTTTTGACTGTTAACTGAGAAAATGTTGTTTCAACTTGAAAATTTACCTTCCACAGACACAAAACCATCAGGCAAAGCATTAAGAAGCCAGCAGCCCCGGCTACGGCGTATATCCACCACGATACTTTCTCTTTCAACTCGGCTTTCATCAGCTCCACCGTTAACTGTTTGCAGCAAATCAACAGTATTGTTGAGTATTTAGAGCATTTAAATACTTAAATAAAATAAATGGTATACTTGAATAGTAATTAACAAATTCAATTACTATGACAAGAATGTGGCTTTATCAATATCTTTTTAAGACATCATGCTCTTTAAAGAGCATTTTGGTGAATTTAATTATTAATGTCTGTTTTATTAGTAATGTAAACAATTATACAACTTACTGCTACGTAATGTGTTTATATGAAATAGTACAAATGAAAAATTTCGTAATGTATCATCTGTTTATTGAGCACGTAGATTCTTTTATTCACCGTGTAAATTGTGCTAGATGAAGACTGCACGGTATTTAAAATATATTTTAATCACCTGTAGACAGTATTTACATAGTAGTAGTAGTATTTGGTATTTAAATACAATTTAAACACTAAATTTCGACTACGTGTTTGAAAAGTATTCAAATACCCAACATTTGAGTATTTTAACAAAACTGGGTCAAATAGCATATTATAATAATTTCATCATTTTAATTGAATTCGAGCAATCAGACATCTTTTTAATCGCTGAATTTTTTAGCACTTCAAAGCGTACTACGAGCAAACGTAAGTGAAGAAGTAGAGTTATCATTGAATGCAGGCTTTTCTTTGGTATAAATAAAATACCTACTGCAATGTACAAAAAAAACTGCGACTTTACAACAAAATGTTGAAAAAATGACCGTTGAGGCATCATTTGTGAAGTTGACTTGATTGACACTCGAATCTGCAAGGCGGGAATGTATTGATACTTCGGTCTTTTCATGACTGCCGAAAAGCTGTTTACAGTGAAGAATCAGCAAGCGTCAGTAATTTTACAATCGCTATACATTTTTATATAACAAGTAGTTATATAAACATTTTCTACCTCATGAAATGTGCTATTCCAAAACCTGGTTCTGATTTTAATAACAGAACTTTCAGATGGTTCCAATGAATTTATCTGACAGTTGATAATCTCGCAGAACGGTTGAATGTTATGAACGGCTTGGCATTCCTGATAAATATAAAGCATTACTTATTAAGCTATTACAACTGAAGTTTGAACTAATTTTTAAAAATATGTCAGCAAACAATGAACACGAATAAACTCTACCGGAAGAGTTGAAGATTTGTCGTACAATTGTTCATCCGATTTGTCGACTAACTTAGTGCGGTCAGGCTAAAAAACACAAGTGTTATTAATTTAACGGAGTAAACAAATGCTGAATGCTGACTAACATTCAATTTCAGAGTGTCAACGATATGGCTAGGATAGTGACAACTGCCTCTTTTATCAAGAACCTCAATGAAAATGATGTTTGATACGTTAAACAGGATCATTATAAAGTTTTTTTCTATATGCATAAATGTTATGTTTTTTATATTTAACAAACAATTATTCGTAACACACACATGCATATATAGATATATTGTTATAATTAATTAATAGATATAAAAATTGTTTGTAAAACGCACGTTAAAAATGTTCTCACAAACACTCAACAGAAAATGTAAAACAAAATTGTACAAAAGTTTTCAAAACAATACAAAATCAAAATGCTAATGTTTTTCAATCTGAAACAGATGCGCTTTTAATTGGCTTTGATATGCTTTTGAAGACAATCCATGATGGCCAAGATGACACGGCGGTTCAAACAATTTTCAGCTTTGGTCTAACTACAGAAAAATCTTGCGTACTTGTTACTATTTAGACAAATGGAGCTTTCAAATGGTTGTTTTATTGTTTTCCAAGGGCAAAATCGTCGATTCATACTTTTTAATTGAATAGTCTTGAGCAAACCCGTTTAAACACCTGAAAAGCGTGGTACAGATTTTGTAAACTTAGAGCAAAATCAAACGGCGACCGTCCTTTATCAGATAGATCAGCAAAACAAGAATTGCTGAGTGCAACAGCAGGACAGTCATATAATCTCGTTACTCATCATCATTGTCATCGTCTTCATCACGATCATTTCCACGACAATCATTGAAATCACAATAAGCATTAACATCATAGTCATTATCATCACCGTAACAATCATTGCCATCATCACCAACACTTAGGTTCGCTCCTAATATGGTTTAAAAAATTATTTTCGTTATTTTTTTGTCTGCTCACAAACTCAGCCAGATGTTTATCAGACTCTTATTTATGATCAGGTGTTACATCTAACTACTGTTTAATTAAGGGCTTCATCCCATATAACGAACACACGGCGCATGTAAAAACGTTTAAATGATAGGTTACGTGATAGGTCGGAGTGTCAGTTTCTATGCACGCGCGTGTTATCTACCAGCAAATCCTCGCTTCGTGTTTGCTGTAGTTAGTTTGCGACGGTTCGAATATAACTAATAATTTTGATAATTAACAAATTAAATTAGCCAAAGAAGAAAACTGACTTCAGGTTCGTTAATGATGTAAAACAAGAATTTGTCACCCAGTAATAAATGCGGCCAGGAAATGAGAACATTCGAACCTGGAAATGACACATTTCCAACATTTTTAACCTGCCAATAAAATTTTTTTTTATTTTTAGAACTTTAATGATTTTAAATATTTTAAAATAAATTTGAGTATTAAGTAATATTAAAGAATAACACACAAACTTAAAAGTTCAGAAAAAATTATGCTAATGTTCATATACATTGACAACCCGGACATACTCTTTCAATAATCCAAAAAGTTCATGCTGAAATAGCTGTAACGCGTTTCAGTTTCTTTAAGATACTTATGTGATGTAGAACACTCGTGCGCTATTACGAGACATCCCAAAATCGAAACACATCGAAAATCAATGCCTAAACAACAAAATCAAATAAAAAGCTCGACAGGCAGCTGCAGTAGCAACAGTTCTAGGCAACATAAAAGGTTTTTTTATTCCGTCAAAATATTTTGAAAAATTTCAAGCGACAATCTGCTGCCGCAATCGAATTAGTTAAAAATAAAAACACAAACTCAAAATAAATAAAAAAACAAAAAATTTACTTCGAAAATAAACTCAACTTCGGGGCCAATTTGTTCCAGGAATTTAATTTCCACCTTCGGTTCGACTCCGTAAAAGCATGATTTGGGGTCGGATTGACTGTGTGCATTTCGCTCATTTAATATTTTTTATGCCAACATTAAAACTAAATAAGCACATATGTCTATATCGTCATGATTTTGAAACAATATACTCCACAGACATCATACATACATGCACACACACACATAATACATACACGCATTAAATGTGAAACATTATAACAAAAAAGAATAAAAATTCAAAAGTTTACTATCTTACCTTATCAACGCCAAATCTGATTCAGTTATTTTTTCGAAAGTTATATTAGCCATAGTTTTACTAGGGTCAAAATTACTGGTCCTGTAATTTGATGAAATTGTTCGGCGATGTTGTGGTTTCAAAATTAAATTCATTAAAATTAACACACGTTGAATGATAATAAATGTAAAAAGTTTAGATGGAACTCTTGCCATCGTGCGTCGATTAGAAATTACAAAAGCGAAAATTTAATGAGCAAATGGGTAAATATGGTCATCATGTAAAATTTAAATCTGTCCTTTCAATTCTGTGAAATCTGCGCAAACTCTCAACATTCAGAATAGCCTAATTTAAAATTTTTTGTTTTTATCAACCAGACGATAAATGAATCAATCAAACGATCCATTAATCAACCAACCAAACATGTTTTGTATAAGCTAGAATTCATGTATGACTTTATTTGAACCAGTCTGTTTGAACTAAGCCATCAGATCATCATTATATTCGACCATCAACCTTTTCCAGCCTCTCCATCAAAAGATTCAACACGTGTGTCCAAATTATAAATCTAAGCTTTCACAAATATTTTACGCTCTTTTACTAGTCATCGCCTGGATGTTTTTATAAACTACGTACATGTTAGAGGAATGAGTATTCGCGAGTATTTTTAAATAAAAGACGAATAATTTGGTGATTCATTGTTTTATATTGTCTATTAGTTGTTTATATGGAAAAAATTTAGAAATGGAAGCCATAACTTTGAATATTATGAACAGAGTGGTTAATATCTCTATCGACGAAGTTGTATGGGAGATACTAATTCAGTGTTGGCTTTGGTATCAGCAAAATTTTTATGTCGAATACCAAACTTGATATCACCTTATAGACATGAAACAATCAATACTAAATAGCAATACTTTTGAACTTCAATCGAATATATTTTTAGTATGTAATTTTATATATGATTAATTTAATTTTCAAAGTTTAAACAAGTTTTCTAATTGGTAAGTTCAGGATTCAAAAATAGGTTTTGCCATTGTTTGCGTGTTAGTTTTTAAAAATTTGTCTTGTGCCTGCTGAATGAAATAATTTATCGTTATGATGTCATTTTATGTTATACATTAACTACCCGATGTGCATATGTAAAATATTAATTCTGTTTTTATGCAGCACAGCTTAAAATTTAAAAAACACAAAAGAATCGGTATTGATATCGCCAGCTATACTTTTAAAAATGAATATCGGTAATGGTATCGGCAATGCATTTTAAAGCCGTTAATAGTATAGGTATTATTGGCGATGTAAGTTTTGAGCAGTCCATTCTTAACTCTGATAACGAATAGTTCAAACCAACTAACGTATTAACAAAGGCTTCTATATTCAAATGCGTTAGACTTGTCTGTAGATTTTTGGCGCTCAATCGAATTCTCAGGTGAACAACATCGTGAGAAGCCAGCGGGTTTCCTACGCCACACTGAAGCAGAGATGCGTGTTCAATGTATTCACATGATATCATTTCTGAAGCCTGTCAGTTTATAGTACAAAAAAATCAAATCAACTGCAAAAAAATATACGCAGAGTAAAATTAAAAAAAAAATAAGTATAAAAAATGTTTTTATTGAAGCACGTTTTTACAATAAACTAAAATTATTTAGCATGGTTAAACTGTTAAAGCTTGAGGCACCCAAACCTATAAATGATCTTAACGTTATTTTGGAATTTGTTTGCAGCATCGTTCCTGAAAATTTAGTCCTTATAGGCGGCTGATTTAAATTATTATTTTTAGCGAAATTTTTTCCACCGAGCAGCAGCTTTCGAAACTTCCGACTATTCTTATTTGCAGAAAGCTAAAGACACTCGCTGACGTGTGTTGGCAGCTTTACAAGATGACCTAAGCAAACACCCATCAAAATTATGTCGACTGAAACAATATGGACTATTTTGTCAAAGGATAACGTTGTATGAGCTATCTCAAACAATCTCAAACTACCAACCGACAGAAGCAGCAGTTCACGTCATTCTCATTTAAGAGATTTATTTATTTATTAAAAATCAATATATTACCCAGCGGCCAATAAAATGGTTGAAAGTTTCCGCAGACAGCTTATGTTTGGCGTTAATATGTTTGGTTCTGGTGTTAAGATGTAGACCGAAATGGTACCAGTCAAACGTTTAGGTAATGGAAACCCAAAAATAGCATCTTAAATTAGCAATATATTGTAGTAAAAGGATATTGCTAACCGCTGTTGCATCTTTTCCTCTGAACGTAAGACCTTTCGTAAGATTGACGTACAAAAAAGCTTGGTGGGCGTCTTCACCATGGTTCGTCACTACCACGTCCAGCTAGATAAATATTAGAATTGAGTTAAATTAATTATAAACGCGATAAAATTTCCGTAATAATAATTATATATATATATATAAATATATATATATATATATATATATATATATATATATATATATATATATGTGAATAAAGATCAAAGAAGGTAAGAAAAATATTAAAAAAATGATTTTAAATGTTTTGATTTGTGCGGTTTTTTGAAAAATATTTCAACTAAAAACGAAATAACAAATAATTGAGAAAATGCTTTGCTAATTTCTTTCGACTAATAAAAATAAAACTAAAACAAAAAAAACCTTCAACTCTTCCGAAAATTTGAATTCAAACAGGCCGCTGATCCTATTTTATGGAATGAAATGTAAAAAAATTATCGGTAAACTATTTGAAAATTGAGCTCGTTTTTTTTAACATTTCGATATTGTAATAAAAACAAGGGACTGTCCATAGAAGATGCACACTATGAGGAGAAGGTAGGGGTAAAAAATTGGTGATAGTTTGTGACAAGAAGGAAAGGTGGATACAGTGGCGGATTAAGTCAAGCGGGGGCCCTAAGCAGAACAAAATTTGGGGCCCCCAAACTTAGTGTGTCGTGGAGAGGCTTTTTAACTTTTAATTATTTCCAACTTATAACTATATAGGTGATCTACATCTTTGAACTAAAAACAACTTTTAACGAATTTGAATATATTTTGTCGACAGATTTGTTACAAACATTAATATATTAAGTGAATATATAATTACGTTTTAATAGCATCTATCTGCCAAGTTTGAATTTTAATATTGAAACAATTCAATTAATTATAAAAGCCATTTGTAATTAATTAAAATGAAATTCATTTAATGAATTTATATCAAAAGTAAATAAAAATGTTTACCACTTAGGTACTTGAAATAAAAGAAAAAAACAGACAACTAAATAACGTTTTAATTATTTGACCACAATACTTTTAAAAAAAATAAAAACACGCGCTTTCAACAACAAAACAACGATACGATATTAAAGACAGAAAAGTAGGGATGGCTAACGAAACGAATGACAGATTGTTTTCAAACATATTACTGCAAACTGCTAATGTTTGCAAATTCTTATTAACGTTGAATTCAGCATAGTAATTAAAAGAATTTTTTAATAATTTCATTATATTTCAAAATTTATTTCAGTTATTTTTATAAAATAATTTTTTTTACGGGGCCCCCTTTCCATTAATAACAAATATTATTTAAAATTTTATTTTTTCAAATTTTGAAATTTCATTATATTGGAAAATTTATTTGAAGTAATTTTTGAAGGATAAATTTGTACACGGGGCCCCTAGCAGCTGCTCAGTCTGCTGAGTTAGATCCGCCACTGGGTGGATAAAAACTTATGACACTTCGCTTTGTTTTGCACCCTTTCAATTTCTATCGTGTGTTGATAAAATCTTTGTTAACATTCATATCAAAAAAGGTTATTTGTGTTTAAAAATTTGCTTCTTTGATGCATTTCTTTGTTTTATTCATGAATTTATGTACGTATTTATTTAGATTCAATGTTATAAGATGTAGTTCATTTAAATTTTCGATCCTTTTTCGTGATATTGTTAATTTGCGTGAAACATTTGAAATTGTAACTTTTAAAAGAGTTTAAAATATTACTTGAAAACGGTAATAGAAATAAAATATTAATTTTTAACGTTCAATAAACAATATATTAATAAGAACTTGTTAAACGACGGAGATTCGAGCTTCAAATTCAGATCGCTATCACACTTATCATCGTCTCCACATTCTTTCAAAAAATGAACCTACAAATTAAGATAGAAAAATAAATTAAGTCATAAAAAATCTAACAAAGTTTAATCTTTCAATCGACTTTTTGCTTTGGGTGGAACTTAATATTGACGCCATTCAGCGTAGCATCGCACCGTCACCTAATAATACTTCAGCATAAATGAATGATCACCTTCAAAAATGGACTTAAACGAAGTTCGCGTCAATCCAGATTATTTAAACTAGCGAGCGATTCGTGAGGCAGAGTTCTATACGCAATCGATCATGTGTTGGATCAGAAATCGATTCTAAAAGTTAAAAATGCAAAGATATCTAGATCCGCCACTTTATTTGATTACTGCAGAACTATTGAAAAAAATTGCGTAAATTGCGTTTTAGAAGAGAAACAAAAGTATTATTATATTATGAAAATCGTCTTTGAACAACGAACACGAACAACGAGTGTCGCTTTGCCCTATTGTTCAATGAGGTCAAACAGAGACGCCTTTATTTAGATGTGACTGAGAAACAAAATGAAGATTTAGAGTCTCACAAAATTATGATATTTTATTTTATAACGTTGACATAATGAAAATAATAAATTATGAAATTACCTCAACGAGTCCAGTTTTAGGGTTTTTTGCATTGAGGACAGGATGTTTTTCAAGGGAACCCATTGGACCGAAATCATTTCCATTCCGATTATGCGTTTCAGGTAGCACCAATTCATAAGTGTACGTCAGCGTAATGGGACTCAACCAATCTCGATTGTTTTCCTATTTATGTAAAATATTAACTCAAAAGATTATTTTTTGATAAATTTGATAGTTGTAATTTTTCAATGGTTCAAAAGCTACAAAGTTATTTATAACTGTATTGATCTTCATTAATCTTTAGCTCTAAACCCAAAAGTGTATTATCAATTTTATTCGCAATCAAAAAATATTATGCTTGAATTTGCCTTTGGATTAAAAATTTGTTTCCATTTAACTTACGGTGCTATTTAATTAATCAATAGAACAAAACCAAAAATATCATTGGTGTTGTAAAATGGCTAAAAATATAGAATAAATGAACAAAGATCAAGAAGCTTTAATGCCCAAATCTAAATTAAACAAATCAGAAATAAAATAAAAAAAATCACATGGCTGTTATCATCTGTATTCTAATTTAGCATGTGAAAACAATATCCATGCATTTCAAACATTTAACACGTCGAATAAACGCTTCTGTTTAATAATAAAAAAATCAAACCGTTAAATAGACGTAGGTGGAGAGGTTCGTGTCGAAAGTATCAACAGCTAGTTTCCACGATTTGTTGTACCCTTCTGTATGAAATTTGGCTCGGCTCGCCAACGCGTTGTCAATCGAAGCAGTCAACAACACGTTCAACTTATCTTTATTTGATCTAAAATTAGGCAGAAACATTTTTTCATAAGTCTGTGCATGCTAAGTGAAATAAATTAATTTTCATTGCAAATAATTAAATATAAATTTATTTCCCGATAGTCTAACCTTTTATTTTCAAGTATCCAAGTGTATTTATATTTGAAAGAAACAGCAAAACACCTATCTTTTGGATTAGTTGAATTTGTACACAAAGGATTTTTAGGGTCAATGATTTTGGGAGAAGTTTCAGCCGAAAAGTGGATGTTGACAACAGGACGAGTACGCAGCAGTACCACACTGTCAGACTGGTATGAGCCGACCAAAAAATCTAGATAGCCGTTGTCGTCAGTGTCTACAAACTTTTTTGATATCGCATAACCAAAAAGTTTCATAGAACTTATTGGCACAAAATCTCGTACAGTCACTTTCTGAGAAAGACTGAGTAACGATGTCGATCCGTGAAAAATGTATATGGCTCCAGAATCTTCGAATGGCGCACCAACAACTAAGTCTGTGTTACGAAATGTTATTTTTTTTACACATTTTATATAAAAATTTCTAAAAATATTTTTTGTACAGACGCGATTTTAAATATGGCGTTTGAAGCGCTAACAGCTGAAATGAAATTGTTTTTCAAATATTTCAACCGCGCTAGTGATTTATTTGATTAGATCATTCCCAGGAAACTTAATTTTATAATTTTGTAAAATGAAACTCAATTTCACACAAAAAAATTCAATAAATTTTTCTAAAAGACTACAATTAGCTATTAAGATACCTTTTGATGATATTTCATCATAATTTTCATCAAGCTTTAATAAGAAACTATGATTCTTCTTACAGCTAGAATGTCATTTTAGGTAGTTTGTAAATAAGTTTCATATAGCGTTCATAAACTGTAAATGATTTCCAGGTATTATTCTGACTAAACAAAACCAAAACTTATTGCATATCTTCCAGAATATGGCTTTTTATCAAAAGATGCCAAAATAGAAAGAGACCGAGTTGAAAGCCGTTGAAAGATGCGGTTGGTGCAAAAATAAAATATACTCTCTATGTGTTGACATCAATCTCGATTTTTGCGTCGTAATAATTAATTATTATCAGAAACTCTATAAATATTTGAAAAAATATGACGATTTTAAAGACAAATTCTAAAATGGACAAAGATAGAAACTTTGAAAAAGATTTAGAAATATAAAGATAAGCAAAAGGGTTTGGAAATAAAAGTAAAAACTTTTTGCAAAATATCCAGTACAATTTAAACATTTTAAATAATCTAGGAGATAGTGAACAAGAAAAAAAACAAAAGCCAGGCCTTATTTGGAAAATGTCTTCGAAAAATACAAAAGTGGTTGTGTGGAAGCTCAAAGTTGGAACTAGTGACTGAAAACGTTGATGCTAGATAGATATATATGATATTCAAATTAATATTTGAAATCCCATTTCGCAAATTTTCAGATGTTTAAGTAACGTTATCAATAACATTTTACAAAGTAATCATTGAAACAAATGTTTTAAAATGTTTTTAAATATAAAAGAAAATAAAAAAAGGGTACAAACCATCAAATCCATCTTGATTAAGATCTCCACCGCACGCTATTGCAAATCCGAACCGCACATCAACAAAATTTGAGCTTTTTGTGCCTTTCAGCTTTTGTGGACTGTCAGATAAGCCCTAAAAATAATTGAATGGGAGGATTATTAAAAATTACAAAGATAAATATAATTTAGGCATTCAATAATTTTTCATTTCCATTGTCTATTTCTTAATTTGAACAAAAAAAATTTCTTTAAAAGACTATGACTACTTATTTGTTTGTGTTTCTTTGAATTTTACTAACGTAATTACATTCTCATATTTTATTCAGTCTATAATCCTAACACATTTGGAGTGGTTTGCATGAAAACGTTTACGATCGAGCTTATAAAACTTTAGTAAATGAATTTTGAATGTTTTGATTATTTAATTAATTAATATTATCGCTTGTAGATTTGTGGAAGAATCTTATACTTTGTGATGTTTCGAAACTTATTTTCGCATTTCATTTTTACACGCCATGCACTAACAACATGCTGCTAAGTAGCGTACATTTGTGGCGTTTAAATATTTTTTCTTAAAAAATCTGATAATCGACAGACTTTGGCAAATATGTTACAACACGCAAAATGATAAAAATAAATGTTATAATGTAAATAAATGGAAACGAATTATATATAGAATACAAATGTTCAAATAAAAAATGAAATAGAATATAACTTATTAAATTAGTTTGTTAACCGTTGGATGGCTCAACACGAAGTCACAAGCACCACCGTAATAAAGAGTTTAATTTTTAAACTAGCAACAAACGAATAGAATAAAAATTAACCTCTTGTCCCGGTCCGTTATAGTAAACGTACACAGCACCACTGTAGCCTTTTTCATAATAAAATGGTGCGCCAACTACTAAGTCTTCGTACCTGTGAAAAACATGAATTAATGAATAAATATCTGAGTAACAAAGTATCTATGTATGTAATTTATTGTTCAGGTGGATGTGTCCCGATGAGTCATTTGATGTATTGTATTGTTTTGGATTTTTATATCTATAAATATACCTATCTAATGTATCGCTACAATCGATCCCCACACAAGACGCCGATGTAGTTGCCAATACATCACAAACATTTTTAAGATGCTTTTTCATATCTCTCTGCTATAGGCTGAACTGGACTCCATTTCGTTCCATAGATCTTTTATCAGCTTCGTTCAGGTTTTCTTTGCTTTGCATATTTTAGCGGTTGGGTCTTCATAGCTGAAATTCGCTTATTCTACAAACATGGTTAAAGCATCGAAGCCTTCGTTTTTATTTATCTCTATGATGGTTGCTCAAGGCATGTGAACTAAAACTTTTGTTTACAAGAAAGACTTTAAAAATTTGTCTGAGGCAATGCATTCGGAATATCTCAAATTTATTTTATCGGTTTTTAACGACGTCCACGCTTCAAACCCATAGAGCGAGAATGGTAGAATTTGTTTTCGGAAGAGACGGAACCATTTTGTCGTTGTAATATTTCATTTCAACCAAAGTCCTTTTTCTTTTCTTAAACAAAGTATGCAAAATATTTGAATATTTCTACTTGCTCGATATTTCTTTAATCGAAATGCGCCTTCGTTCTAGATGCGTTAATCTTGAGGTGATATAATGCATCAGTGTGAGTAGTATCGTGAAAAATGTCTGTCAGTGGCTTTCGAATTAACTTTGGTGGCCACTGTACTCAATTTTCTCTCTTACTGTGCACAGAGTTTTGGAGTCGGTCGGAATTTTTTGAAGGGCTGGAGTCGAAATCGTAGATGGATATTTTTCATCCGACTCCAGAAAGTGTAATGAATTGTTTCAAAACATACTAAAAGAAAGTTTTGTGATTTTATTTACATTATTAGCATCTGTTTTCAATATAGGACGATAGCATATTTCATTACTCCCCCTATTTATTTAAAAAAAACACGATATTAAAAAATATTTGCAGAAAAAATAATTTTAAAGTGTTTTCTAGATTTTTTTTAATTTATTAGTAATATTTAAGAAAAGTTATGATGCAAAAAATGAAAATTTTATCTGGCTATAGGAACCCGATGTCTGGAGTCGGAAATATTTATCCGGAGTCGGAATTTTTTATGGGACTGGAGTCGGAGTCAAAGAAATTTTTTATCCGACTCGGGCGCTCTTACTGTGCGTGCGTACTAAAGAGCGCATCATTTTAAAAAATGACGATGGCTGCATGGCGCGTTTGATATCTTTCATCACTATTACAGTTGATTGAATATCACTGTACTACACACCTATAACTATCATAAATAACTAACTTGATAAATTTTTTTTCTTCAAATTTTCAACACCTCCCATACTATGACTCTTGCTTCTCTAAAAATTCCGATTAGTGCAAAAGTTCCGACTCCAATCGATAATTTCGACACCTTGGTCGTATATTTAGTTATGTTCTTTGAAGTAAAACCCCAAAAACCCCTAGAAAACTTTAAATAATTTGTTTTGAAAAGTTTAAAAATATGTTGTCAAAGTTCACTATATTCAAATTGTGGTCTGATTTGTACCCGGTTTTAATGTCCATGCCATAATAATTTTGCAGTTCTTAGAAGCTGAGACAAGCGGAACTTGATGGAGTGTTGTTCTTTAGTTACCTTCCTGGCGTGTTTTGTGAGGAAGAAAAAACTGGCATAGAATCCTTTGAAAAAAACGAAGAAAGACATTATGACCCGAGGGCGATGACTTGATGCATAAACATAGCTATCAGTGCAGCATAAATAGAGATAGCTAACGAGCAATCGGACAAAGTGCAAACTCATATGTGTAACATAAGTTTACGTCAGCCCTTGTATAAGATTTATTCTTATAAACTTTAAGCTAATAACAATAATCAAATATAAGCACGAAGTTATTCAATACGTAATATAGACCACTATTACAAAAATTAAGGTTATAACATAATACAAAAAGTTTTATACGTATTATAATAGAAAGCTAAAAAATATCCAATTTTATACAATTTAATGTATGTATCCAACGTTTGTTAAATGAAAATGATTTATTTTAACAATACAAAAAACGAAACCCATTGTTATCGAAATCGCCAGTTCCAACATCCATGCCGAACCCAGAGAAATATTGTTCCCCAGGTATAATCTTCCTTGGTAAAATCGAGCTATCGTCATAAAGTAACACTGCTCCTACAATAATGTTTGTAATAAACATGTTTAAAGTTTGAAATAAATATATTATTTATTTCAACTATTTTTAACGAATTTTCTTGACATTGCAACGTAGAAAACAACGTGTCAACATAGCTAGGTTTTACAAGTTATTTACTAATCCATCTTTAACAAATTTCAATTAAAAATAGACATAGGATTGAAAAAACGTAGTTAGCCTTAAGTCTATTTTAATGTATTGTGGAACAATTTTTACGTTTTCAGGATTTAGTTTTTTAATAGATGCTTTTTGATTTCTCGTTAAAGTTTTTCGTCAATATTAAACATTTATCAATAAACAAAGAGTTCCACTATAATTTTTTATTTATCTTTTACTTGCAACAAAATTTCTAATATTGTTGTTTTATTAATTTAGGCACATTTTGAATTTAATTCCGCTAGATCATTTGGTTTAATATTGTAAATTAAACATTTCCACGAGGTATACCTACTGCATTAATTAACATTTGAGTTCTTCAAAGTTCAAAAATATAATTCACTATAAGTAGTCCATAAGTTATATTTCCCAAACCTAGTAAAAACATTCCATTTCTTGTGTCAACTGTATTATTTGCTATAGAAAAAGTTTTTGTTTGTATTAAAATATCGAAAAAAAGAAGTTCCGTGGTAAACAAAAGGCATGTTCAAAATTTTACCTTTCATCATAAAGCGAGGAGCCCCAACGATATCTGTGGGAGATCTGTTCAAGATTTGGCCAGCTGCTATGCTATAACCGGCGAGTGTTATGTTGGGATCGTTGTGCGTCAAATCTTTCGATTCAGCAGCTCCTAATTTCGCATGGAAACCAATACCATTGTATGAGAGATATGTAGCAGCACCAACCAAGATTGTGTCGTTCTGAAAGGAAACAAAAATTGAAACTAATTTTTATATTTACGAAGCATACATTCTCGATTTGTTGAAAAACTAATTGAAATGCATGATTAGTTGACATTAACTGTTTAAAATATGCTATTATCACAAAAGTTATTTGTTGAAAATCTATTAACCAACTCACTAACTTAATAATTAATAAAAATAATGAATTTAACTGTCTTAGTAAATAGTTACATCTGTGTTTTTAATTACAGTTAAAACGTAAAGTACTGAATTAGCGTGAAAGTGCTTAAATTATATCAATTATTATTATTATTATTTATGTTCAAGTTGAAGATTTAAAAAATATCGAAATAGTACATCAAAACATTAGTAATCAACTAACTGATACTGTGAACTAGAGTTTATAAAACGAACTTTAAAAAAACATTAAATATTGAAAGACTTGTTATTTTGTTGACTCAACAAAGTATATTAAAAAGAAATGTATAAGAAATACGTTAACAGATAAATGTAACAGCCACCCATGGTACATTGTTTTGGGCTGTTTTGGGCAATAAAATACAATGCGAGAGCTTTCACAATGTTTCAAATAAATAAACGAGAAACATCGTTTTTAATATAACATATAATATAACATATAATATAATATAATATAGTATAATATAACATAATGGAAACACTTTTTATTATTGAGCCTCAAAAATCTAAAAACAAATTTCATAAATATATAAATTATTATAGTGATTATATAAATGATAATTTAATTAAAGTTAAATATATAAATAAAAATGACAATACAAATTAAGTAAAATAAAATGAAAAGTCAATGAAATAATTAGTGTTTTATCAAATCTGCGAAGCTCATCATTCAGATCGAGTGAGTACAGCCAGAGTTAATTAGTTTCAAAATTGGTTCATTTCAAATTTCTATCACAATAGATAGCGTACGACGATGATACAGCAGACTTAATAAGGTCGTTGCAAAAGTTATCAGACCAAACAATGTTTATATGAGATAAATTAAATTGCTTGAATAAACCCAATGTAGAAATTTCGAATGTATTTATTTTTATTTTCAAATGTTTGCAATCGTCAATTAAGTTATTTTTCAAATTATTAGAGTATTTAGATAGTTCATATTCTTTTGAGCTGAGGAAGTTGGTTTCGTGGCAGACTGTTAATTCCAGAATTTCCAACGTTTCACCGCGTAGCAATGCGATATCTGGTCGCAATGACTTGAATAAGCGTGATAGTGGTTGAACATCTCCCGTCTCTAGATCAGCAAAAATGGAGACATCTGGGTTGGCGCATGATTTTAATTTGTTGAGGATTATTGTCAATATTTTGTTGTGTCTTGTTGTGTATCTATCCAGTGCCGACGAAGAACTGCAGTTGGATAGTACATGTTTATTCGTTTGTAGATTATTGCATAACAAGCACTGGGCAGTGGAAGGCTTCCCCATCTGGACAGGTTGGCATTTGTTGGCAGTTGCTGAATTAAACCTTTCCGGACGAATCTGAATAGAACCTCTG